ACAATTTGTCAATAAGTAATTTATTACAAAAGATTAATTTGGTAGCTACAACCTGCAACATATTAAATATTGCTCATTAATGATTATTTTATAGACAAGAACGAGTATAAAGGCTATATGGTTAAAGTATCTAACATAGAGTAACTTATTTATTTTCATTTTCAGCCAGTCTTCTCACCGCTTCTTGTATTCTGCGTTTCGCAGTGCCGGTAGCTTCCAGATTCCAATTCCTTTACTTCTCCTACACGTTCCACAGCCAAATACTGAACAATTTTCACCTGGCATTATGTCCACTGTCTTTATTAATGTTTTCAGCTATATTTTGAAGGTAAGATGTCGCTCGATCACGGAGAAAATCCAAAAACTTAAACGCTACATGACTGTCGAAACAAGCCCACGGTGCCATTTTGGATTTATGTGTGGAGGGTCATTGCCACATGACCTCGATAAAATCGACTGAAGTTTGCCATGTTTCCTAACCAGTCCCCTCTACTAACTATGCTTGAATACATCCATTTTGAATTCACCGGAGATCCTTGTGATCTGAGTGGATCTCATAAGTGTGATTGTTTTAAGTGGATCCTTTTAAGTGGATCTTTTTCCCAGCCAATGAGAAACCTTTACTAAAACACAACAAAAAATCTGATTTCAAGGCTTATTTAGCTTGTAACCAATCAAATAAGAGGAAAATAAAAGACAACTTTGCAACCTTTTACAAACCAGCTCAGCACTGGATCAAAAATATTTGTACAGACTTAAAAAATCCTGTATTTACAATACAATACAATGCAATACATAGCTTATATAGCACAACGCTTCTCAAAGATCCAGCGGCGCTTTACAATGATAGTGATACAAAAATATGGTCAATTAAGAATTAAAGTGAATTTAAAAACTAGTGAAAAATTAATGAATGCAAAAAACTACAACTCCCTAAATAAATGGGTTTTAAGTTTAGACTTAAATGTTGTTAAAAGGTCCACTTGCCTAATATCATCTGGCAAGGTGTTCCACTGAGTAGGAGCTCTATGAGAGAATGCTCTATATCCACAGTGTTTTAAGATTGCATTTAGGTACCATTAAGAGTTTTTTTCTTAGAAGATCTTAGGTTTCTATTAGGAATGTACGGTCTTAACAGTTCACTAACATACAGAGGACTCAGACCATTTAATACTTCAAAAAGGAGAAGAAGTATCTTAAAATCAATACGGGCGGATACAGGCAACCAATGTAGGCTTCTGAATATAGGCGTAACGTGATCATATCTGCTGGTGGCTGTAAGCAGGCGGGCAGTTGAATTTTATACATGTTGTAGTCTATTAATTTGTGACTGCTGTAGGCCAGATAGAAGAACGTAACAATAATCCAACTTCGACGAAATAAAGGCATGAATAAGTATTTCACACTGACGGTGCGAAAGGAACTTTCTAATTCTAGCTATGTTACTAAGGTGGAAAAAGGCAGTTTTACTGATGTTATTTATTTGTTCATCCATAGAAAGCACACTGTCAAGCCAAACACCAATGTTCTTGGCAGATTTACTAGCTTTAATAATGTCAGCGCCGATCTTGAATGAATCTAGTGGAGGTTGAGGACGATGGCGAGCTGTCAGGACAAGGAGCTCCGTCTTATCTCCGTTGAGCTTAAGCTTGTTCGCAACCATCCATAGTTGGACATCTTGAATACATTCCTCCATTAGTGATTTGGACGTTATTTCAGTAAAGGAAGAGTTGTGGGTCATTGGACATTTTCACCTACAAATTCTTCTCTTTTTTCTTTTTGCATGTTCATTCAACCAACCCTTTACCCAACAAACCTTTTTTCCATTAAACTGCAATGTACAGAAATTTTCATACGTATAAATCAAATCTACATTAATGTCAATTACACAGGAGAATTTGAAATAGAGTAAAAACTCTTTAATTTTAATAGTCAAGTAGACATGTCTTTAAATCCCTTGGTTTTATATATTGTAACAATAAATTACAATTTATCATCTTTTTTAAACAAATGGCTCTTTAAGGTATGTCCTTACATTTCTTTATCAATGCTGCACAGTTCATTGCAGTCCTTTGCAGTTTCTTCCTCTTTCCCGTTGGGGTAAACGATTATTACTAGAAGGTATGGGGATTGTTGCCAGGTGAGAGATACTTAGCTCGTATAGGAGTGCATTTGTGCAATACAATTTTGTCTGCATTCTGTTAATTCCTAGCTGTACACTGTAATTTTGGGAAGTTTGACCTGGACAATAATTCAAGGCACTTTACTGGTCAGCCCTTTTGCAATAGTGTCATATCTTTATTTCATTTTTTCTTGAGAACATCTACAGGTCTTTAGAGAGAAATCTATACACATTTTGTATTTATTTTACGATGCATATCATCAAAATATTGTTTGTTTTCATTTTCTTTTAGTTAATAATCAATCAACACAGCTTCTTAAAGCTACTGTAAAGCACAAATCATTATGGGTTCTTCTTTTACCTTTTTGTAGTTCCTCTTTTGGTTCATGCATTGCAGAGTATAGATTACAGCGTCATTATAGTAAGCTTTCATATTGGCTGAAATTAATCCTTTTTACATTCCATTGCTCCTTTGCTTTACTAGCCCAGGGTGTTCTTGCCCCTGCTGCTGTACTTTGTCACTCTGTTTTATTGGTGCAGGTCCCATTTTTTTGTGCCAGAAACAAGGCTTTGGCAATGCATTAAAAATTGCTAATTAAATTAACAATTTAATTGACCGGTATTTTGTCCCTTATAATACAAAAGTGTATTGAATTTAACCTGCTCAGTTAGTAACTTACTAAATTGTGACCATGAAACACTGTTTCATGGTCAGATTTTAGTCAGGTACCAGAAAATGATTTTCTAGGAAACTGAAGTCTGAGGCATCATTCCAAAAAAACAGCAAAGTCCTTCTACTTGAAATTTCCAAAGCAGTAGCTTAAGTCCTTTCTGAAAACCAGTCATAAATATACTATGAAAGACAACTGCTGAAGTTTATTAAGAGGTACATATTATTAATTGTCACATATTGAGAAGGGAGGGTTGGGGGAAGTTCATGTTTGACCAGATGCAAATGATTCTTGTTGTCCATGGCATTAAAATAAAATCTAAAAATTAATAATATAAAAAAATTACAAAAAACGGTGATGAATGATAACACATTGCCCCTTACTCATGACTAAAATATATAAGCAAATTAAGACATTGTATGAGGCTTTTGGGGAGTGGAAACTGTCTGAGGGACTTCAGAATCGACAAATGTTTTCAGACTTAGCTGATAATTAAGCAATCTTTCTTACACACATCACACCAACGCTTTGCAATAAGGACAAAAATAACTTCTTGTGACATGTGCTTCACCACCCTCAAACAAACATGTACATCTCACTGAATGCATCTACAATCTAAAATGATTTGCCGAAAAATGAAATAAAAACTCCCGTGCTTAAAAAACTCAAGTAACTAGTGCTAAAGAAGCCACTCGTATCCTGACTATCGTTCGTTTTTATCTCGCTGTCAAATCCAACCTAAGTGGACTTTTCCAATAACGCTTGGTGCGCCCTACATGCATCTGAAAGTCAATATGAATACAACCGCTGGTTTTAAGTTTGGCGTGGGTGGACCCGTGGGTGAAGTCTGGGTGAAGGACAGTCACGAGAGTAAAGAATCTGTTCGTGACCGTTCGTGTCACGTTTATGCAGGTGATCCCGTGCAAAGCGGTCACCTTCGACGACTGGAATGACAAAGAAACCAGAGGTTGTATTTTTGTATGGTCCTCCCTTTTCGGTGAGTTTTTTTGGTTACATTTCTAGCATTTACATGCACGATAACGTTGACACGTTATTTTTAACTTAAAAATTGCATTGTAAGCTTTTACGACCTGATTTTTTTTCTTCTCGATCACCTAAAAATAATCAGCCCCAGTAACCTCTTCTACCTACAATAAGAAGAGAATCATTTCATCTTTCTCAACTAGCCATGGTGCCGTGGTTTGTCCTATAATATGACATCGTACAGTAGATAAATATAGTAGACATGATGAAATCTCCTGTCTGAGAAAGATAGAAGACAACAGACTAATGTCTGGTATTTGAATGAGACCCCATATACTGTATTTCTCTGAATTAGCACCCGCGTGCCTATTTGAAATTCCCGGGTGGGTACTCGATATATTCCTGGGTGGGGAGGTGCGGCACGGCCCCTCATACCCTGACCCTGTTTGAGACAAATATCGCTGATTTTCCTACCCTGTTTAAGACAGAATTCTGATTTTTGATACCCTGTTTAAGACATTTAATGTGCCTGGTATCAATGCCAAAATCAATGGAATTCAATATTAATTAAAATTAGAGCTTGTAAAAATATTGCTGTTTATCATCCAAGAAAAAATATCCTGTTTAAGACAAAAATTGATAAATCGATACCCTGATTAAGACAAAAAATGATAAATTTGATGCCTGGTTTAAGACAAAAATCTCGAAAAACATACCCTGGCTGGCCGCATGTCCCTATTAAGCCCTTATAAGGGAGTACCCCCCCCCCGTTAAAATTCCAGCCTAAAGGAGGGGCCCTTATTGGAAGGAAGGCACCTAATAAAGGGGGGGGGGGCTTTATACTAAGAAGTTATTAACCTGTACTAATTTAATTGAAATTGAATATTAAAAAGTTAAAAATAGGCAATAGGAGCAGGTTTTTCTTGCTTTTTTACTATTTGAGAAATTGAGTAAGGGGCTTAAGGGGAGGGCACTTAGTTGGGGGAGGGCGCTGAATAGAACTTTGGTCACCTACTTAAGGAAATATGGTATTCATGAAGACCAATCCTGGAAGTGTAAACTTGCCTGCAGAGAGTACAAGGCTGGCAACCTGGGGAAGAGCATCTTATGGTTTCTCACAGGCTGATAGGCTGCAGTACTTAATTTGTCTTGATTTACTTTTAAGGGAAAAGCTTTGTTCTTTAAACATCACTTCTCCAAAACACACAAGAAAATTAACCCAGCAGAATTGTTTGAAGCTAATCCCTTTCTGAGCCTCAGAGCAGTGATTCTGAAGGTTGTCAATACACTCAATCAGGTTTGTGTTACAATACTAATATGCAAAACTGTCTGAGTCATTCAATGCAGGTCAGCCATCAGTAGTGCTTTCAGACAGTTGTGCTATCATGATATAGCGAGTTGCAAAATAGGTTGAGACATGTCACCATAACAAGAGAAAATTGTTGATCATGTGATCCAACATAATGCATCCCCTCACTCTCCCCCTTGGCAATGTTGGTAGCTAAGCAGTATCATGTACAAACCTTTGGTGAACAACATTGAATCAGGGAAGGAGAGCAGCATTTGGTATTTTGCACTAATTACTTCTTGGCCATCTGATGAGGTTGGAAGTACACTTTTTGTGCAAGGTGTCTTATCATTTTTGTAGCTGGCTGTCTGGTGTTTGTAAGTAGGATAAAAAAATCCTCTTCTTTCACCTATCTAGCTCTTGTAGTAAGAGCCCACAAGATGTTGTGTGGATAGCATTAAATATGGCCCTTCTTGGATATTGATAATTGATATTGGTTGCTGTTTTAAGCACAAGGTGTAGGGAATGAAGTCCATGTTTTATATTCTATTCTCTAAACTCCAGAATATTTACACCAACTGAATGTTGTTGGATGAGGGCTGAGGATATATCTGGAAGTTAATAATTGTCTTGAGGGTGGAAACTTTCAATGCCCCCCTGTAGTAGGTACTTGCTCTAGCAAAGCAAAGTAGTCCTCTAATTCTTAGGTGAATTTAGGTGTAACATCACATTGATAATAAGTACGAATTAATCTTTAAAGCTTGACAATAAGAGAGTGTTAATCCTATTTTTTCTATCATATGTGATATTAACTGAATGATTAAACTCTTCACAAAGTCATTTTCCATTGATACTGATGGAAAATAAAGTTTAAACCCATTTCAAGTGATATATGGAAATTAACAATCTGTTTTTCCTTTTGGTTTTCCCATACTATGTCATCTAAAAATACTCAGGGCCAAAGTGTAGTTGTGGATGATAAAAACAGCAGTGAGAAAAACAGGAAATCATACATGGCCATTATAAGAAAAAAGGTACAACTATTTTGACTTTTAATTACAACTGTGTTACAGTCACAGACATGCATCAATGTGTATCTCTTTTGGAATTCCTTGAAGTCTTTTCAGATCTATATCAATCTCCACCTGCTCAATATTTAAGGTGGTTGACAAGAGGGATTGGTTATTTTTTACATCCGAGTGAGTAGTTAGCTTTTATGGGACATATCATACTGATAGTATTTGGCATTCTAGACGCCCCTACATAAATTGAGGAGTCTCGTGCTCATATTGTCATGTATGTAAACAGGAGGTCACACCTGAGTGTCATGTAGGGTTAGTTTGAGTAAAATCAGTAGTTTGTCATCAGAAAGAAACATAAACATTTTTTTCAGAGCATGAAAGAACTCAAATTACACTTCAGACCCATGTTCTCCTTAAGGTCTACCTGATCCATCAAGCATTTGTAGCATTTGTAGTAGAATTTTTTAGAGGTTGTCTGATTCATGACTCACTTCCAGTATGTACCATTTTTTTTTCAGTATCTTTATGTAAACAGCCAATTACCAATGGCGGGGACACCACATTAGCATAGCCAATTAATTGAAATTAATAGATAATTACCACACTACCCACTTAACAAGTTCATACTTATCTAACCACCTGCCTAACCATTTTATACATAGCTCTGATTTTAATTCTCAGTATCCCTCTGGGTTTCTTTTAGGATGATCATTTGTTTGAATTTCAGGTTGGGCAGTGTGACATCAGAATGATCAATTTCCATGTTGCACCTTCTTCTGGCCCTTTTATTTGTCAATGGGCCAGAGAATGGGAACTGGTTCATCAGTTTGAACTTCCATCAATAAAACTCTCTGAAAGGGGAGTTGAACAATGGTTTCAGAACACTACTGGTAAGAAGATAATTTAAATTTATGATAGGATATTACAGACTACCCTTTTTACCCTTCAATGGTGCAAACTACATAACAATTCAACTTCTGGCATGGAATAGCCTTTTTTCATCGTTTGGGACTGTGTAAACAATAAAAAATTTTCCACCCCTGAAATGTTCACATTGCCTTTGAAAATGTGTTGTGAAATAAAAATCGGGAATATTTTCCATTAAGTAACACATTGTCTTGAATGATCTAATTCAGAACCACCAAGTGAAGAAGAAGGGTTCAACATGATAAACAAGGTTGATGTTCAATTGATATGTGACACACCTTATAAAGTATGTCAAACTGTGTAGTACTACATAAATGTTAGAATGATTCAGTTGAGCATTTTGTTTCAAAGTCTTTGAGCACATGGCAGTATGCAAGCATATCTGCCATACTTACTTCTTGAAAGTGGTCAGTCAATAAATGCAAGGTTTGGCAAAATGGGTGCTAAGTCACTTAAGTTGACATGCATCAGTATAGAACTAACCTTAACCCTAACCCTAAGCATTTACAAAAGTTGGAGAAAGAATACTGAAAAGGGTGGTTTTCAACCTGATGCACTTTACATTACTCATATAGGTTTGTTCACATTTTTCTTTTCAACATTATTTTTGTTTGAATTTGCTACATTTTCATATGCTTCACAAGTGGAAAAATAAATGACACCTCTGTCTCCCTCTTTAAACCTTGCTATAGCATGCAAATTACCACAACAGCTACTTTTCTCTTACCCTGGATGGCCTTCATGGAGAGGGTTACCATTAGAAATTTTATCAGTTAATTCTCTTACTGTAAAATGAATCAGTACTGTCACGAACTGCTTTTTCCCCTTCCATCTCTAAATTTTTTAAGCAAAACATCTCCCTCAACTTTTTCCTTTCTATAGTTTGTGGTTCCAGCTCTATTTTTCCAATGGGAGGGGTTGTTTCAGTGTCAAGAAGACCAAACAGGCTTCCACAAAGCAGTAGCTAATGTTGTGAAAAAGTGGAGGCATAACAACTTGTGTGGAAGAGTTATTATACTCAAACTTGGTGAAGAGCAAACTTCTGAAGGTGACAATTAATATGGTCTAGATTTTTAAACCATTCAATAAAGGTGACTAGTTATTGACTTACTTTTTTCTTTCATTAAAAGACACTTTAACAGATTAACAGCATTGTACAATCATTTAATTAAAAAATTAATAATGTAGCTGAGTGTAAATTAAGGTATTTTAAGGGGATCTAGAACCCCGAGAAGGAGAAACTTAGACATAAAAGACAGGATCTGGAAGTAGAGAAGGGTCGAGCAAGACTTCCTTAAACTCGTCAGTTATAGATTATTTTTATTATTTTTATAGAAAATTTTTCTTATTTTTTTGCGTTGAACTTTTGAAGATTTTACGTTTCCTTTGTCAAGAAATTTAAAATTATTGTTATCATTGTTATCACTATAATCATTTTTATTACACAACTCGGGCAGTCAGAGGGCCAATAACTAAAATCAACCAATCAAAATGCTCTATTGCCAGTCCAATATTCTCTAAGTATTGGACCAGGCACTGTCCCGAATGGTCCCAAATGATACCGCACTTGTGCCCCTTTGAACTTCAGTCGTATAATAAATCTCTTATTAACCAAGCTTGCTCAGGACTGTACTGGAAGAATATCGGCCCTCAGTCTTTTTTGTATGGACCGAGCGCAGCGAGGTCTGTACTGTCAAGACCTCAGGCTGATATTCTCCCAGTATGGCCCTCGCGCTTGGTTAATAAGATATATTTATTATCATTATTATTATCATCTTTATTATTATCGAAGAGCTCGAGAAGTAAATGTAGACAAGGTGTGTTTTTCTTAGCTTCTGATGGACATTTTAATGTGTTTTTCGATTTTTAAGGTTTTATCAAACTTTTGTAAATATTTTTGGGGAAAATTATGTGCTTCTGAAAAGTAGTGTATTTTCATTTAGTGTGAGTGCAAAGTTGTAACATGAGCGCAAATTACAAATAGCACATGCATGCAGAGTAAAAATTAATAGTCTGTCTTGACTTTCTGTGATACTTTTTTCATGCAAATGATTCACACCAGTAATACAGTCGAACCTGTATTAAGCAGCATCGTGATGGTGTTAAGCAGTAACCCTGTATTGTTTAATTCCCCTGAATCGCTGTAATTTTCACCCCTATTTAGCGGTTACTATTAAGTGGTCACAGTCACCTTTGAGAGAGTCCCAATGGCTTATTGTTTGCCATTGTCTTCCACCTGTATTGCATGGTCACTTGAAGCAGAAGCACTCAAATAAAACTAGGAATAATCATTCAAGTAAAAATTCGATAAGTTTCTTTCTTTAAATCAATGTTTTGATATTTTTGAGCAAGTTCTAAGGTCTTTTATATTACCTCTATTCTGTGAAATTGCTATGAAGCAGTCACCTCACCATTCCCCATTGGTGAACACTTAATGTAGGTTTTACTGTACCATGATTTCTCGGGCAATTTGGTGTAAAAAAGCACTTGTCAAAGACTACAAAGTGCAAACTCCCTATGGGCTCATGCAATTTCATTGTCTTGAAAAATTTACTAATTCTTATCAAAAATAGACCTCAGGCCATATATGAGTTGCAAATTGTGTTAATTATTCTTGGTCTTTTAGACATTCATCAAGTACTGTACAAGTATAATATTTAATGCAAGTTTTATTACTTGATAAATTAAATCCTATGAAAAAGATCTGCCTTTGAATTCCAAATGAAGGTCTATGAAAAAGATCTGCCTTTTTGTGAACTTGGTTTTAAGCAGTTAGATTCTATATCTAACAACATTTAACTTGAATTTCAAAAAGGTGTCCCCTCAAGAGTTTTGTCCCTTTGTTGAATCAACAGGAAAGAAAACCTGTGAATGGCCTAACAAAATGAAGCAGTTAATTGGTGAATTAGTGATACAGGTATGAAAACAAAATTGCTGACCTGGCAGAAACTTCATGACTCTGAAACACTTGAAATACAAGATAAAGCATCCCGGTATATCAGGAGATGGTTACATCCAACAAAGTTTGTTGAAAATATCTATTTGCTGGGATGTTCTATAGTTGCTGCTGACTCAAATATTGATCCCTGCGTGATTATGCAGTGTGTCTCTATGCCTCTTTTTATCATTTTTTGTTGAGGTTTTTACCAAAAAGTTATTGAGGTGGTACAGCTTATTTAAAGCAATAACTTGCCTCTGTAGAGTTGACACTTTTCTTAGGACAAAGTCTCTGAGAATAATTGAAGATGAGATTTAACTGAAGAACACAACTGAGGGATGCTGTGGAAGCCTGTCAGAGTATCAGCAGTGTTCTTTTAACATCCTTCCTGTGTGTTGCAGGTCAATGTGCCCATCTTCTTGGTGCATTGGTGTTCATATTTGTGGCAGTTTAGCCGACCTCCCAATCCAGGTCTGTTTGCCTGGCTTCAGAGACTTCACGACATTGATTTGTCAAACAAGGTTCAGTAATCTTGATCTGTTTTGTGTGATACACCAGATTCCAGGAACCTGAAGGGCCAATGAAAAGCTTAATTCTCGTTATAATTTTGTCAAGAATACCATACTTGGGGGGTGGTTGTGATGTAAAATACATTTTAAAAAGAACAGAATTTATAGGGAGCATTTCTTCTTTATATAGAAGCCTTGTGTTTCTCATCTCTTATTCCAATTTTACTATCTTTGTTGTTGTTTCAACTTTTTAAGAGTGGAAATATATATGTAAGGTAATACTCTCTGAGGAAAGGTAACTAGGATTGTGTGGTTCTTGAGATATCAATGGTAACTACTTTTATATACCGATGCACGTTAATGGGGGCGTGGTCTAACGTTAAGGTATCAGGAAACTTAAAAAAAGGTCGGGATTTGTTCTAACGGGACTCAGTTTTATTTCACAATTTAAGTGTGTTTTTTTAACTCCTTCATCTGTACTACGGCGTTCGAAGATTCAGTCATAAAATTGATTTAAGAAGATAATCTTCTTTACGTTACTTGTTGATCCACGCCTTAGTTACCAACGTGACAAGTGCACTTACATTCTGCACCAGTAATGGGGTGTTTATTCACATGACACCATTGAGCAGTGTAATTGTTGAGCTGACGACCAACCATCCAAAGATCAACGGTGATAATTAGAAAATATGTAAGTCCCGTAAAGTTAGAGTATATCTGGTGATTTGTTAGATACTTTTCTGTCATTTCATGTAGGCAACATTCTACATCCATTCTAGTGACGATCATTCAAAGGCTGCTGCTGCAGCAGGAGTGAAGTGTATCAAGGTGAAATACACAAGAGCAGTGATAAAAACCATCCTTTTTTTTTTGCTTTGTTTCTAATAACTGTACTCCATGTTTCTGAAGAGTAAATTACCGATTTTGTTCTGTGTTCACAGGCAAATAAACTTCTCCAAAATCCATCAATGGTAAGCCTGAAACTGATTTGTAGTAACTTATACGCAATTATGAGGACCAGTATAATACAAGAGGGAATTACACAAATGTAAGCCGCGACGAAAAAACTCACTCGCGTAATTTTAGCATCATGGTTTACTTGCGATTCACCTCAGACCCGAGGTCATTTAGCTTCATTTTGTGCAAGCAATAGTTTCACTTTGCGCCGCTTTACTCGGAAAAATAGGGAGCTGCACTCATTCTTTTTAAAATCTGCGAGGAATATAAGCATTTCGCCCAAGAAATCGCAAGAAAGGCGTCGAAAAAAAAAAGAGGCTCTATCTAACAGTTTTCCTATCATTTAAAAGAAAGAAAAAGAAACCCAACTCGTAGAACACCCAGATCGCAAAACATCAAGCCGTATTCGTAATAATTGTCCAGTTCACGTCTTTGTAGAGACATGTTCAGGGTTGAACCCAGAACAAAAACTTCGAGAAAGGATGATCCACGATGAAGAAAGCTTTCCAACAGCAACTTCAAATATTACTAAAAATTATAAATTTCGTAAAATCATGGACGTAACTACTTATGCCATAGGCCTCTCAGTGTTGATAAACTAAAGCTTACTTTCCTCCTATTTGTATACCTAATGAATCATAAAAGTGAAAAGGAACTCAAACTCATATTTACATATATGCCTGCCTGCATGCGTTATTGACTAAGCGTGAGCTGAAGATGGCTGGATATTTGCCGAGGTTTTTTTTGCGTTTTTAAGGACCGAGACGAAGTCGAGGTCCATAAAAACGCCAAAAAAGATTTCTCTTCCATTAGAATCAAGAATGACTTGTTTATTTCGAGAACCGAGAAGGAGAGCCTACTGTGTTTGTAGCACAATAAACCCAAGAGGGTCGTTTGTGTTTTCTTTGTCTTGACTGTCACCAGTCGCTTTTTGCGACTTCATCACCGACATTGTTCAAAAGTTACAAACTTTGTAAGTCCGCTCCACGCACTTTTTTTCTTGCGCGGGATCAAAGCGGGCAAGATGGGCCCATGCTTCTTGCTCGAGTAGCCAATCAGAACACAGGATTAGCTTCATTTTGCCCACGGGCGCTGCCGGCTATATAATAAGTACTTATGCTGCACGATCCTCGCAGTAGAGAGCGCTATTTATGCAATAGCGAAAATCAGGCCTGTACGGGATTCGAACCACTGACCTCTGCGATACTAGTGCAGTGCTCTACCAATTGAAGAGATTCCAAGGTCCGCGTTTTACTAGTCTGCGTTTTACTAGTCCGCGTTTTACTAGTGCGCGTTTTACTAGTGCGCGTTTTACTAGTCCGCGTTCTACTAGTCCAGTCCAGTCCAGTCCAGTCCAGTCCAGTCCACGAAATACCATATGCCCCTATGAAACTATGAAACATTACGATGCTCTCTGGTTTGACTCAGTTATCAGTTGCGTGGGTGGGAGAACCGTGCTGCTGTGGCAGCTTTCAGTCTTCCATCCCTCTTTTTGGATATGAATGCAGTTTATGGAGGTCTTGTTTATCTTTTGCACTTATTGAAAAGCCCAGTATTTTTTTTCCCGCGGAAATGAAAAATTAAAAAAAAAAAAAAAATTTTGGCAATGTAGATATTGATGCACTCAAAACCTGAGCTAAGGTTAAAAGTAGAAAAGCGCCTTTCTCATAAGATCAGAGTACATTTAAACCAAAAATATTTCCATTCAGNTATTTATGCAATAGGAAAAATCAGGCCTGTACGGGATTCGAACCACTGACCTCTGCGATACTAGTGCAGTGCTCTACCAATTGAACTAACAAGCCAACTGGGAGCAGGCCGTTAAGTTCATTCGTAATAAACCCGTGATGATAAATCAGGTACGATGAATATGAAGTTCATATATTTTGAACTGCGGTTATAGATACGTATGTTATATATACGGATATATATTACGAATCAACTTAACGGCCTGCTCCCAGTTGGCTTGTTAGCTCACTTGGTAGAGCACTGCAGTAGTATCGCAGAGGTCAGTGGTTCGAATCCCGTACAGGCCTGATTTTTTTCAGGTCTGATTTTCGCTATTGCATAAATAGCGCTCCCCACTGCGAGGATCGTGCATCATACGTATCTATAACCGCAGTTCAAAATATATGAACTTCATATATTCATCGTACTTATATAATAGTACACGTATTTTCAATCTATATTTTGATTTATTCGATAGATAGATACAGTACATTGTAGGGTAGCGGCACGGGTTCCTGAGTGCGTTAGTAAGGCAAGGCTGCTATGGTTTGGCTCCCGGGATAGACCTGAAGCTTGTATTCCTCTTTTTCAAGAGGCTGTCACCTCCCATGACCGCACCAGTGAAAATAGAGAGTCATCACATTGTATCACAGTCACAAATAAATCCTATACTCATGGAGTATGTTTTCAAGATTTTGTCTCTCTTGAAAGGTTTGTCTGTTTCTTTTGCTTATGAAATGTTGTCACATGCGTTTGTGTTAAATTTTATGGTTCTGCTTATGTCCAGCTGTTCGTAACTTGCACGTGCGTCAGTTGTGTTGTTCAACAACGTGTAACGAGAGCTGGCATCGTAAAGTACCAACTTTCTTTACTTCACCCGCGGAAAAAGAAAAATGTCAATCAAATTTTGGGATGGAATAACAGTGCCACTTATTCTGTAACAATATTTCTTCCTCGACAGATTCAACTTACAGTACCAACAAGCTGCAATACCGACAGAACCTGTGTCTGGTGATATATTTAACTATAAAGGGTGTCCTGTTGAAGTGAGTACACTTACTACAGAAAAACAACGAGGTGATGAAAACACTATGTGTTTCTCTGGTTCACCTGGAGCAGCTGTAGTACTTCACGAATCCCCTGTGCGCAGTAAATTCGATGAAAGAAAACGTAAGTCAAGACAATTGTGAGAACGATTCTCACAAACTTCCGTCAACCTATTTCCAGAGGACAATCTTTTCTCTTTCATTGTCTGTAAACCCGCGGGAGGTAATTTCTTTCTCCACTCCTTTGAGTAGCGGATAATGCCTGCGCAAGGGTATGATTTTGATAAGGAAGGAGAAGCTTGGCCTTTGCCCACTCGTTTTACTCGAAAAGTCTCACTGCTATTACTGAAAAGAATTTAGTTGTGTCTTCAGCATGTTCTTTACACCGATATATTTTGTCGTAGCTCCTGACACCATTTGCCCGACTGTTGTAGTTGGAAGCTTAACCACTGAGAAGATTGAGAGTCATGCCTTCAGTCCAGGCCATTTCAGACGTGGCAAAGGTTGTACCAGCCTTATCCGAAATGTTATGAGCAAAACGATGGAAGATGGTGTGCATTTCAGTGCGAAATGTAAGTATATGTGTTTTACCCTTTGGTGCCTCAGTTTTCTAAAATATTGACTTCCTTACGAGAAAAGTAATGAAATTTTTGCTTAAAGCAAATCCCACCCGTAGTAGCCCGCCGAAAGTCTTAAGTTTAAGTCAGCGGTATCCTTTCAATTAGTAAAAAATATGCCAAATAGAAGAGGAAATTGCGGCTTGTTTTGTAACTAACGTGAGACAAAGAAAAAGGCTGAGTCTCCGCACAGAAATTTTGATGATGAGGCAGGTTTACATTGAGTGCACATGTGACCGATGTACTACATACAGTTAGAATCAGTGCAAAATATCGGAGCGCGAAGTACGTGGGTCTGAAACTCGATTCCTCGTGAGGGACCAAACGAATGATGCTTCTCAGTAACCGACCACCGAGCTTTAAATTTACCATTTTCTTTAAAATGGTTTTATTTGGCCATAATTTTAGAAAGATTAGATAAGCGCCCTCGTCGATTAAGTACCCCTCCAGCCAACGGCCGAAGTGTTAGAGAGAAGATTTTGTATAGTGATTGTATATCTGTATTACAGGTATTGGGTCACAAGATCAGCTTTATGATGTCTCTGTCGTTCTTAATGAAAAAGGTGGGCAAGTAAAGCTGACGCGCTGCTTGATATCTCATTTGTTAAAAATCAAATGCAAAAATTTGAGAGATGCGCTTCTTTAAACTTGAGTTAATCAATCAATTCTATAATCAATCAGAGAATAGTACATAAAAATGGAAAAAGTGTAGTCAGGAGATGTCATGAGTTTTATAGAAATTGGTTGCCTCTGACTGTTGTTATTTCTGAAACAGACGTTTCGGCTAATGCTTAAGCCTTCATCAGTGATATGAAAAACGAAGATCGTTATCATACGCTATTTAAAGTTAGAGAATAGTACATTTTGAATGGAACTGATTTTCTCTCAAGCGTCTGAAAGCAAAAGGCAAAAGGAAGTTCAATAGTGTCGCGCAAGTCGAATAACTTACGTTCGTGTTCTTAGGATTTTAAAACTTAATACATAAAGGTTTGACTTGACTTTGCTATTTTGTATACATAGAGCACGGAGGAAGTGGTAGGGGACGAAATAGGTGTAAACGTAGTCGAGCGCTTGTCCCTTCTGATCTCATTTTGGGAGGAGGTCACACAGTGACGATTGACTTTCACCTTTCGTCTGATCTTTTGTCTGACAGATCTTGTGCGAGCTAGTTGTACTTGTGCTGATCCGGCCAGTAAGCAAGGGAGATGTAAACATGGAGTTGCTTTATTACTTCGGTGCAAGAAAGAGAAAAACGTAAGTAACTGTGGACTTTGTGAACGTAATGGTGACTGAGACTTTTTGACATTTGGAATTTTTCAAGTAGTTTTTGTGATCGGCAAATTCTAACAACTGAAGGCGATGCAAATAGTAAATCAGTAAAAATTTATTTTGCAGATTAATGCCACTGACGATCGGTGCCCACCAAGCATTGTAGATGACGTAACGATGAGATCAGCAAAGGTAGGTACTGGTCAATATTTCGACGCCTCTTTAAAGTAAACGACGAGAAAGTTATCTAAGCTGTGGTTCAATTTTTATCCTTGATTAAAATCATGTCAACGCCAATAATACGTTTGAAAAAAAGCGTATAATTTTTTTTGTGAAGGGAAGTGATGTGTGATGTGTCTACTGAAAACTCGAAACTAGAAAAGAAAAATCACTGCCTTTCTCTCCCAGATAGGGCGTGTTTCCTATGGCAACTTTATTCACGCACAGCCAACATAAAAGTATAGATAATTACGTTAAGCCCTTCTCTATCTTGGTTATTTGTTTTTACTACAGTCCGCGTCAACTTGTGAAGATCCAGTGAAAAGGACTAAATCTGAAGATACACTCTCAGCTAAACGTTGCAAAAGGTACTGAGAAGTCCATCATACTTGTTTTATTTTTATTTTCCTTTTCCTTTTTACTTGCAAGTATATTTATAAGTTTTATGTATTGCAGACTTAAAGAGAAAAAGAAATTGGAAACCACGATGTATTTTTTAAGCGCAGAAGAACTACTTCAAACAGCACAGGAAATTTTGCATGAGGTAAAAAGCTACTCATAAATTGATATTTACCAAAAGCATAAGTTGTATGATTCTGTATTTTACTAACGGAGGTTTTTGTCATCAGCTGGTCTCGTCGTCTTGTATTTTAGAATAGTCACCTCAAAAAACCGGAGAAAACTGAGTGCAGCAGACGACAGTCAAGAGAATGCACAAGTGAGCAACGCAATTCTAAACTGAGTTCACATGAAGGGGACCAACCTTATCAAGGGATTTCTCGCAGGTGCGTTTATAATTTACAATCAAGAGCAAACAATTGCCCCTACTGTGGCTACAAATTTGCCATTTATATTTTCAATACCTTTCCGACAGCTTTTTGGGACGAGACCAAACCTACAGTAGTGTGTAGTTGGTGTTTATGTTCAGCAGCTATTAGAACAAACGTTCGGTTTGTCAGTAGCCGGCTGTGGATACAGTCAAAATGTTTTTCGACTATGCACTAGTTAGGAAAATAGTCGTCAACTCCCGGATCATTCATCTGCTTCATTCATGGCGATGACAACAAGTAGTCAACAACACTCCAAACTCCAAACTCTAAACCCTCATTAATTTCGATTGCTCTTTACTACAAAAAAAACACAAGTGGTCATCGATTTGTAGCCACTTTTGTCCAATGGCAAATGTAACGCGATCCTTTCTCTAGTAATAGATGGATCTATAATCCATCAATAATTTTTTCCCGCCTACTATTAGGGTAAACACATCACGTGACCGAATATTTGTGCCCCGGCTGAAACTAAGGAATATCCTGTGATATACCCCAAGTAATATTTCCCTATTTCCAATCCCTCTATCCACTACCATAAAAGACTTCATTTCTGTATATTTTCTCTTGGATTATGTTCCACGTAATTCACAGTTTTCGCAAAACTGTTCACATCGCAGAACAGACAAATATCCAAGTATAGTTCGCGCAAAATGGAGGCTATTGTTTATATTTTAATTTAAAGTAGTTCTTTGCACATGTAATTTCCATTTGCGATGTCGTAATTTGGTTAGGTTTACAGCTTCTTGGTGTTCTCGACATTTTGTATCCCTTTTCTTCACAGAGAAAACCTTAATTCTTCCGTAAGCAGTGATAGTTTCATCAATAAAACTACTTTGAAGGAAAGATACGAGGACGTTCAGTCTGGCTGTGCAGATAATGGGCTTAAAAAAAAGATAATTCCTGAATCAGTTATTATGGGCACGTTGGAATCGCAGTCAAAGGAAACTAGTTCAGATGTTACTGAACCACCAATACGAACCAAGGCCTGTGGTCTTAAAAAGGGAAAAGCTCAGAACGCCAGTACCCATAGGAAGAAGGAATCACAAACGAGAACGTCTATATTAGATGAGTTTATTTAAGAAATGATTAACTTATACTGAATTTTAACTCACTCATCACTTAAAGGAGGACAAAGTGAAACGTCTTTTGTCGAGTTTGCTTAAGTTTAATTCTTTGTTAAGTCGATGCTTACAGAAATTATTCCCTGGTAAGCTTTTACCTAAACTAAACGAGATCAAAATATTACAAAATTGTGATGTAAAGAGCGACGACAAGCATTCTTGAACAGGAAATCTCTTGCTTCCCCAAAAGAATTGATCTTCAAGCATAACAAACTGAACTTAGCAGAATAAAGCTGGACAGGTAGAATCCTGTGCCAGTTATTCTCCTATACTTCGAATTAACTTTGGTAACAGAAGGTACGAGTGGTACCCATGTTTTACTTTTTGTATTTAGAGGAAAATTGAAGTCGTGGTTTAGTATGAAACATTAAAAGACAAAATGCCAATTTCTTTGCGAAACTAATCTCAGTTATTTGGTTTTGAAATTTCTTCTTTTATTGTCGCATACACATCCTGTGCCGGCCCCGGCCTTTGCACATTGTCTCTGATGCGATGAATGTCATTTCCCACGGGTCTGTACAATGCAACAACTATGACGTACTTGCCGCTGGGGCTTGGTGCTGCGCCCATTCCCAACTGGCTCGTATCTCCCCAAATCATTTGCGTGAAGTGCTTTACTTTGTCGTTCAGCTGTGGATATGAAAAACTGAAAGCTTTTTTCTCACTGTACCATATGGTTGTCGCCTTTAGTGGCGCTCTTGGTAAGTCGTGCCATATTTGAGCGATGTTCTCACCGAGAGGCTCCCCTTGGAAGGTGGAAGGATCGCTGGCCACAGATTCTGCTGTCTGCTGTGCTTGCTCTGCTAGGGTTACGTTCCACTGAAGTGGATTCACGTGATGCATTGCTCTGAGTTTGTTGTGTGCTGCAAGAGCCTCTTGAAATACCGCATCTGATCAAATGAGTAAAGGTTTTTACTTTGGAAATGTGCGACAAATACAAACGTTTGTCAAAGGAAGTGATTTACTTCTTAATTGTGTCAAGATCAAAATGCTCGAATATGAGTGGTTCTTAACAGCACTTAGTTGTGGCTAAATTGGCTTTTTCAGGTCAAAACTGCTCGATTTCATCTGTCCGATTATAAACACTTGTAATCGGACAGGCCAAATCAGACGGTCGGGCCGTCATTAAAATTGTGCACTTAAAGCCACCAGCCAATAAAATTCAACTACCTAACCAATTCTAACCGATAAAAATGAGGGAAAACTTCCGAAGTGAGTACTGGAAATTTCGAAATATTTAGACGTGATAATCTTGAACTGTAGCTTAATATGTATCAATTAGAAGTCAATGTGCTGTTGCATTCAGTTTTTCCTCACTGAGTTTTTCGCATTTTGTTATTGACACAATCAATTGCTAATCGGACTTCTCGTCCTACAATTCAAGAGTAATTTTACTCGTAATTCGAAATCACTTGCTCGATTATTTCCTGGATTGCACTCTTCTTACTCCTACAGTACAAGCCATACTAATACTTCAGACAGGGAAATAGTCTCTTCATGTATGTACCTGGTCCTTACAGTGGAGGAGATCATAACCTTCATTAAACCATTCACCTTTTTACAATTACGATCTCCGATAACTTCCTGCCACTGCAATTTGTCACTTAGTACTTACTATTCCTATTCCCCGTTCTGTTAGCGGCTGATGTTGCACCGGTTGATTTTGCACCGGTTGATGTTGCACCGGTTGCTATTGCACCGGCTGATGTTGCATCGGCTGATGTTGCACCGGTTGATGTTGCACCGGTTGCTGTTGTGGCGGCAGGGCTTTTACTGGTGACAGAAGCAATCTTTTCGGCAGTGGCGTCCGTTTTGCGGATAATTCCAATTCCAGTACTGCTCTTTGTCTTAATTCCGTTTTTAACGGTGGCCATGCTCTCATTTCGAGGGAGCGGAATGGTCCTGTTGTTAACATGTTTCTTCTGCTGAACGACGTTTTCCTCGGCAATGTAGATCTCGAGGGTTTTACGTGAAGCGGCTTAAGATTGGTATCATGCACATGCAAAGTAAATAAGTTTTTAAGGAACAACTAATTACTTTTTCAGCAAAATTTGGCAGTAACGCCGCAATTTGATCTGCCGTTGTCGATAAGAGTACAGACAATGCTGCTCTCGTCAACGTTTCACGTAACGCACTGAAAGAGTCGTTTTATTTGATGTCGATGTATTGTGGTTGAAAAACGAATCGCCTGCGCCTCAAAGAGTCCATAACATTTTAACGTGATGATGCATGTAGTTGTCGATAAGATTAGAGACCACGTTAAACCACTGTCGATTTGTTAAATCTAACACCGCTGTCAAACGAGAGCAACGAAAATCTATGCATTTGATGAAAATTTTGTGCCCGTCAGGAAGATCATCTGTGCAGGAAAAGGAGTTTAGATTGAGCAATTTTTACAGACTCACCTTCTGCAATTGACTCATCTTCAGACTCGGCCATTAAGCCTTTATTCTTCATCTTGTTTAATTCCTTACCTAACATTTGACCACCTAGAACATATAGAAAAGGTTTTGAAAACTTTGAAAACCCAAACGGATTCGCAGCTGGCTTGCCCTGAGAAAAGTAAAGTCGCGAGGAATGAAATTTACTGTTGTTAATAAAATGAGAAAATTATGTCTAGTCAAACCTGTCTTAAGAAGGGACCCAGGACCCCTTAAATGTTCCCTCAATTTCTAATTTCTAATAGCCAGTGTCCAGGGCCTACTTATTCCAAAACTTTCCAGTCTTGAAATTTTCGTTATAAATTTCCAAGAAATTCCAGGTTTTCCAGTACTCGGATGCACTCTGCATCACTGCGGAGTTCAGAGTTCTTTCGGTCTAAGAGGTACCTCGTCATATTTTACCTTGTCGTCTTCTATCTTGAATGTCAAACTTTTCGTCGTCTTGAGATTTGTACGGGCGCACAGCATCCAGCACCTCTTCTTTGTTTCTCTCTCTGCCTGCAACTTCACTTAACACATCTGTTGCAGGAGACGAATCGCTGACTTCTTCCTCGTATTCTCGTGTTTCGTCTGTGCCATTTGTAAAGATGAGATATCATATATACAAGCAGTACTAATCACAGTTTCAGCGGATTTTCCCGGTCTAGTTATTGCCGGATTAACTAACGTTTGACAAAACTCCCGTTCATAGTTAGTAAACCCAATTATTGTGGGTTCTAGGGTTTCTTGATGTTATTGCGAGACACTATGCTGAGGGCTACGCCTAGCTTTGTTTCAAGAAAGGGTCTCCGTAAGAGCGGTCTACTCAGGTTTCATTGAAGTCTCCCCATTGGCTTGTTTGAAACCTGGTGTTCGAAAAAAGCGGCTCCATGGACTAGTTAGAAATTACACTTAGGGAAGAGGTGAATAGTCTCTGAAAGTTGTCACAGTCAAATTTAAGTCTTTGAAAATCGTCATAACAATCGTTCGCTCGAATACACCTAGACATCCGTTTAACTCGAGAAAATAAAGAGATCAATCAAGCGGATGGTGGTTTTTTAGTATATGTCTTGCGACACCTAGTCTGTGACTCGAAATCAACCCTGTCTCAAAGCCTGCCGTCCATGCATGTTTTCGTGCTATCGATTGGGTTATTCTGTCCTCTTCATGGTACCATCGCAGAGGCAAGAAGCAGGTTTAAGCCCCAGTACCATAAAGGAAGTCACGGGCTGCTCAAGAAGAGTAAACCTGACACGAATCATGGACAAATCTGATACAGAACAACGATATATTAGATGGGTAATGAAATAACTTTATGGTCACATGGTAACTACTGTAACTGTAGATTAACCTATACCTTCTACAAGTGGTCGCTGAACTTCGAGCCTTCTATCACTCCGTCCAGTCAACTGACTCGAAGATTGAGGCTTTTGGTCTGAAACAACTCCTTTATGCATTAGAGTATCCGAACTCTTCTTTGTTGCGTTTGCTATCAAAGCTTGGTTTGTCTTTGTAGTTTTGGAGCCAACCTCTGCGTAAAGGGACAACAGGAGATTACTCGCTTGGCCAGTGCTCAACAAATTGCCGATCCCAATCCGAAATTTCTTGTATGCAACTGGAATTTTTCCTTTTATTAAGCGCTCACTCACAACAGAGTTCGTACCAGCCAGGCATCGAAAGCAAATTCCTTGGCTTACATGTTCATTTGTTGATTTTTAAAATGGGATATGTCAGATTGCTCAAATCGATTGAAAAGCCGTGTCAGTTTCCTTTGGTAACGATTTGGACACGAAGAGGCAGATAATAAGAAGCGATAACCATAGCTTTAAGGAATTTCAACGGTAACACAGATATCTGAAGTTTGAGTTCCCTAAACAGGAACTCTCGCGTTGAGAGAGTTTAACATGTCTGTCAACATTTTCATGTGATCTTTTCACAAGAGGAAATGGATTCATTGTGGAAATTTGTCACGTGTACTTATGTCGATCTTTTTTATACATCATTTCCTAACTCACTGCAAGGATTCTGGTAAAATCCCTCACCTTTTGCTTGCACCAGGAATGGTATAAGCAACAAGAGATTAAGTCCTTTTAAACAAAGTAGCCTCACTTCCATCTCTTTACCCTCCCAGCCGAGATACCTGAGAAGTTTAAACAGATTTGTTGTAGGAAAGCGTATTACAATTATTTTCTTGTCTACCTTGGTGAAACGATCTATGTTCTGACTAAAACGTTGTAATCACCCTGTTTGGCCAAGGACGAATGCTAGTTATCCTTGTGGTGGTGGATACATTAACTCTCTGTAAGTAACTGTTTACTCTGAATGAATAAATCTTTCTGATTATGATTTACGTTTCATTTCGTGTACGTGCTTGTATATGAAAAATACGCTTAATAATTACCCTAATCTTCAAACTCATGGTAGTTCCTTTCTGTCCCTGGTTAATTGTTCATTGCTGACCGATTAAAATTACATCATCTTACCTTCTCGTCGTCACTAAAAAAACGTATGTTAAATGGCATTAGAGCAAGTTGTAAGCCAGTAGGGAATCGATTAAGTGACCTTTTGGTTTGGTGTTAATAGCAAGACGACCAACGACAGGTTGTAATTCACAGATGAACGATCATTGAAGTTATTTTCTCAGAGAGAGAGTAGAAGTTACTCATCAAACAACTGTTTACTCGGTAAAATACCTGAATCTTTAAGCAAGCTGATATTTCTTTTTCGAAAAATAAATCTAAATGTTTCCCTCAAACTGTCGACGTCGTTTTGCTAACAAAGCTCTGCAAATTCTTTTAGCCCAAACAACTCTGGGGCTTCACTTTCGAATGAAATTGTTTCAGGGATTGTCAAAGAAGGCCCATTACATTATTTTTGTACCACCCAGGTTTTAGATTAGGACATATCGCCCCGCCTTCCACATTGTAAAGCAGGTGACCAATGCATGTCTTTTCCATAGTTTTTCAGACAATATCATCTCGATAATTTTTAGTTTTCCATTTTCTTCATACACTATGCGCTCCATTTCACTTGACTTGAAAAGCATTTTAAGACATTTTCGCCCTCTGTTAAATTCGAAATCAGCGTTTTGAAAGTTATTAGTCGACAAAGATCAAGTAAGGTATGTTGTGGTCATACGTATCCTTAAAATGCATAAATTTCTTTATTTTCAAAGCACGCAAGTCACTTCTAACACACTCTATGTAACAAAGACATCTCACGGACTTCAAGTGTGTGGATAACTCATTCACGAATCTTACTAATTCTTGGTACGCAAAAAGTTTCCTCAAGATTTCCCGAAACAGAGTGCTTGTCGCGCTATCCAGCCAAGTTGGTAACATTTACCCACTTTCTTTCTTTGTCTTTTCCCCTTTTATATTCAAAAGTTTTCCTAACAAACGCCGGTCGAAAGCTGGAGCGTTCCACACGGCACACAGCTGAACTTTAACTTTATCGAATCGTCGAGTACAAATCGTGCCTAAGACCAGGAGGAAGAATATTTTGCTGTAAGTGTCCCTCACTGGAAACAGGTGGATCATAAAGGGCAACTACAAAAGCATATTCTCCGCTGCCACTTCTTCTAATAGCAAGTCCCATCTCTTTCGTTCCTTTCCATGTTATTTGCGCAAAATGTCGCGTTTTGCTATTTATCTTTGGATACGAAAAACTGTACGACCCTATTTCCTTGTACCATTTTTCTATCGCCTTCGTTATTGTACTCTCCCCAGTGTAGACTATTTGAGCGACACTCTCCCCTTGTTGCTCCTGGAGATCATCCAGAGTAAGGAAATCTTTGCCTGCGAGAGACTGAGCAATTTTTCGAGCCTTCCTTGCTAGGGAAGCTGACCAGGATAATGGAGGAGAAAAATGTTTGGCTCTGAGTCTATTATGTTCCTTCAAGGCTTCCCTCTCAACCTCATCTAGGAATCATAAAATTAATGATATTGGAAATAATAAGAATTGTAAATCTGAATTCGCTAGAAGAAGACTTGTAGCCGTACATAATTCTTATCACCGCGTACCTGCACAGATATCCTCATGACATCTTTTCGATTGAAACAAATCTTTTGGAGGACATGTATTCACGAGACACACACGGGCTCTAACGATCACTCCTTTACCACAAGTTACTGAACACGAGGACCATTCATTCCATTCACCAAATGTAGCATCTAAAGGGAACGAAAGTACATTAATTTCCTAATCCTGTGTAAAATGTTAGATGCAGGTTGAAAGGGTTAACTATAGTGGAATCACATTACATACACACTGTGCAGTAATACTGCGCTACACCCCATATCACAGAATTTTGAGTTAAACGTTCACCTCATTACTTCCTACCTGCAATTTCTTATATCGAATACAGTGATATGTATTTCATTGTGTTTAATGTTAATGTTTGGAACCTACCTTTGGTATCTGCATAGCCTCCATCATTTTCATCTTCAGGCGTTGGATGAAGTGGATAATAGTAAAGACTTTTCAGTGAAACATTAGTTGGCCTCGAAGATCTTGTAGGAAACGACAGAGAAGATGTCGTTCCCCGCAAAAAGGATATAATATGTTCGATATTTGTTAGGTCCGCTGTTGAGTAGCTCCAAGGCGGTGAAGGACGATAATTCTCCTCATTTCTTCGGAATCCAGTTGAAGTTGGCTTGTTATTTTTCCTATGTGAACGCATTCGCCTGTTATGATGCGGAAATGTTTTTCTATGGTCAAGTTTTGGTATCTTCAGAGTAGCTCTGATTCGTGCGTGAGGACTTTCCTCTACTTCTCTTAAGAGATCGTTTACTTTTTGAACGATTTGCAATTGCTCATCGCTAGATTTTGATTTAACTTTCTCTTTTTGGCTCTGAGATTCGTTATGAGATTGCTCAGTTTTTGACCCTTTTTTAATTTCACCTATGACTTCAGGGCCTGAAAGTGGAACTAATTGTTCATCTGAATCTGAAAGTTGAAAACCTTTGATTTCGCTTTTGGCGGGTATCCAAAGAATCTTAGCACTCTTGCCAATTTTATCTACTTCAAGATTCAAGGTTTTCGAATGGTTATCGTTGCCGTTGCTGGAAATAGCTGTAGTATGATGTGAGAGTGTGTTGTTGGCAGGCATTTTGTTTTCCTTATAAGTAGCAAGTTGTATGTGTTGGCCTTCATTTATAATCTTCTCATCTTTACTTTCGCTCAAATGATTCCCCTCTCCACTAGCTATGCCGTGAAGTGTTTGTATCCTACTATCATTTCTATTGCTATGTGCCACTTCTTCCTCTGCTCCTTGCACCTTGCTATCGCCATTTACGTTATCAATGTTTATATCTTCAACTTGTTGATCACTGTTCATACTTTTAGCTTTAGCGTTTTCCCTACTTTTTTCATTCATTTCATCTTCCATTTCACTATGTGGACTATCGTCTGTGTTGTCAGATAAAGAACCACTAGCGTCAGAGTCCTCCTCATTATCCGTGTCTTCCAGCTTTTCGGCGTCGATTTTATCACCTGCATGTGAGCTTTCCTCACTGTTCCATTCATGATTGTTTCCAAGAGCATCTTCGTCCTGGAAACGATCAGAGTTACCGTCCTTTTCCGAGGAAGTATCGTCCTCATCGTCCGACTTATCGTCTGCTGTTTCGTTGTGTACGGTGCCAATGGTATTTTTAAACTCATCGCCGTAGGAATCAAAGTTATCCAGATAATCAGAATTTTCATAGTAATCTCCTTTGTTATAGTTTTCTATTTCACGGAAAAGTTTTGTGTCTTGGTTTTTTATTCGTTCTTGGAGACTCTTTCTGGAAGATGCTTCGCTATTGCTGTCGAATTCGTCAAAAGTTCTACCAGTGGTACCGTCACTCACATCGTCAACATTTTCATTCCAAGATTTGTAACCGTGATCCGAGTTTTCATGTTCAGAGTAATCGGACTGTGGGAAATCATTGTAATTGTCTGTTGATTTTGTTGCCTTACCACGATGTGCGCCAGTTTCAGCGTCGATCTTACTCAATAAGAAGTCTGTATCATCTCCCATTTGGTCATAATCCTGAAGAGACTGCGAGTTACTAGGAAGCTTAATTGTACCCTTGTGTCTTTCCTTCCCCTTTTTTCTTTGAAGAGCATTTGTTCGATGTTGATCTTCTATATCGGTTAAGTCCATATTTGAATCGAAATTGTCTGTATCTTCTAATGCATCGCTATCTTCAAAAGATTTTACGTTGTAGTCGTTAGGATCCTTCATAAGCCAATCAACTGCTTCTTGGTTCCCTTCAAAGTCTGCTTTGGTTTCCAAGTTATACTCCGGCATGTCTCGTAAATTGTATCCCTCATCGTTATCCCCAGTATGGGAAACAGACATTTGGTCCACCCTTTTGTGGTGCTTCTTTCCTCTGTGCGACCCTTCGTCTGTTTCAATAGTAACGTCTAGTGGACGGAAGTCTTCAATTCCGTTTTCTTGAAGCATCACTAAAGATGAAGACAGATGTCAAAAGGCACCTTTGGTATGGAAATACTATTGCATGGAGAAAGGCATATCGGCTTACAGTTCAAGTTGACCTTGATGCTGTAAGCACCAATGTACAGGGTTTTGCTTCACTGTACTTGATTTCTTTCTGTGTTTGATGAGCCCTACATGAACCCCCTTTCTAACATATCCGTAGGTCTAAGCCTATGATTACCATTACTTACTTCCCTCATCTTTACTCTCCTCAAGCAGTTTTGGTTGCACAAATGCGTGTAAGTTGTCAAGGTCATGCGGAGCTACGCGACTGTCGAGCATCACCAAATCTGCATGCAACACACACAAGATTTTTAACCATTTAAACATTTACGGCGTTCAAAATGTTTTTCTCTATTTATGCTATCAAATTAGAATCAACTGTGTATGATTAGCGTTGTAACTTTTTCTATTTGTCCTTACCTTGCAATGTTTTCCCTCTGTGAATTACTTCCACCTTGTTTCTACCGAATCTTATACCTGAAAAAGTAATTTCTTCGTGTTGAAAGCAGCAGTTGGTTTTAAGCAATTATTTGATGAGGTTGAGCATGATCTTATGAATGATCAAAACCGAGGTCTGAGTTATACGCTGAAGTCGAAGTTGAGGGTGATAACACAGGCGCGAGGTTTATGATATCATGCGAAAATGGATTCAGTAATGTTTTATACTACATCTTTTTTAAACAATCTGCAAAGAAGATACTTCTTTCTGAGTTTCAGAGGACTACACGGACAAGGGGCTTGGAAACAAGAAAGAATTTGAACTCGACATGATAACTGCAATATCCGCTGCAGATATTGGGTCATCATGTCAACTTCAAACAACCTCCTTAATCGACCGATCGGAGTTTTTATAGTAAGTCTAATGTATGATAATTAACAATTATTCCTATTGGCTATAATCATCTCATATCCAACAAGCGCGAGTAGAATAATTGTTTTATTAAAAACGCCCCCAAGAAATTATTTTTTAAGAAGAGACCAGATTTTTTAGCTCCCTTTTGATTTTAAGCTGACGCGTACGCTTACCACATTTGTAGATTATGGTATATTGGCTCATATACCATAATGGCTGAACCAATAAAAAGTCTTGAATTGCATTATCCAATGATCCAGTTTTTAATAATTCCAATTATCGTGATTAAATTCTAGTGAAAAGCGAAATTGACTTCAAAATGTGACTTACCCAGGATACAGTTCTGCCCAATAGCAGTTAATATCAAAATCGTTAAAATTGTTCTGCGACCCATTCTGTTGAGAGAATTAAAAGTTAATCATGAAATTGAAAACGGAGAGTTATTGAGTTCCCACAACAATGAATCAAATTACACTGCAAACTTAGCCTTTCAACCCGTAGAAGTGAAAAACATCAAATTCCTCCTTACAATATCGCTGCTAAGCTTCAAACATAAAGGAAAATGATGGCCAACGAAAGAAGCTCTCGACTGTTAAACAAATTCTCCATGTGAGCACAACAAGAAATCTATAGAAAGCGGTATGGAGAATATGCGTGTCGATGTTATGATATAAAGGGTTAAACAGAAGCGCTAGTCGACCTATAGCTAGTAAACATGAACTTTGACATCATTGCAATGATGAACAAAAAAGATAGGCGATTGATTTAGATGGTCTCCTATTCAGATGCTTCATTCAAAGTATTTTGCGTATTTAAGACTGATTAACAGTACAATTAAATACCACACTTATTACAACCCCTTTCGTTAATTATCAACTGCTCTAAGGTTTGAAACTCATCGGACTTCAAATCATAATAAACAAACCCAAATACCAAATGAAATCTAACGTCTCTATGGCAGAACAACAAGTACAGCTTCCCTTCATGAACACGTGAAAATTAATACTTGCCAAAACTATTTACATCCTTACCTTTGTCAGTGTTAGATTATAGTTTTCTACCCCATCTTCGAGTTTTCAGGTGTTTTGATTTTAACGTTGTAAAATCACAAATGGTAGATTTTGAGTTCCTGAAAGTGTTATGGTAATAAATTTTGGTAGACGTCGTCAACGAGAAAGATTTGTAATCATCTTTATATGAAGATAACTTATATTGGAACTAAGGTTGTTTAGGTACATGTATATTTTACCGATTCGTGGGCGCTAAATCTAAACGAATTTCAACTGAATTTGCTTTAGCACCTGACGGGAGCGATACCTTTACGGGTTCTCAATTGATTCACGTTCAACGCATGATTTCCTTCAGATATGAATAACTGAATTATAGGATGTTTCCCAGGATTTTCGCTCCTCTAACAATAAGATACATGTAGGTTTGTCGCTGTTTATGTTCTAGGTGCGTCTCTTTTTCAGCTTGCATACAGATCTGCTAGATCATTTGAAATGATCAAACAGATCTGCCTAAAGACCTGATCGTAATGCTTCAAACTTTTGTGGCAAATTATTAGTACGGTGAAATGAGTTTTACATTGTTAAAAGTCCCACGGGGCTCTGGAATTATTTAAAGCTCACGAAAGAAAGCCAGGTTAGCTTTTGCAAAATCCCCCGGTAACTTTTTTAAACACATGGAAGAACTTAAATTAGTGAGGAGGTGAGGACTGTTCATGATGGAATTGCTAATTTGAGTACCTGAAAACCTCAGGAATTGTGAAGGTTTCCCTAGGATATGAGTAAGTCAAGAAAGTTTTGATGCAGCCATTTCAAAACACGTTTTGGTGATTCAGAGGTAATTTCGCGAAACTTATATCTACCTATATATATTTAAGAAATTAGGAAAATTAGAGTATTGTAAAAGTGTAATAAGTCAAAAAGATAGTGGAGATGGCACTCACTCGGACTGATATTTTTTGACTTGGTGTTTCTATGATTTTGCTAGATTTGCAAGGGCATGACCATATACTTCAATCTGTTAGCTTAGAGAGAGACATTTTATTTTCAAATAGTCGAGTATAGTTCATTTTTTACTTATAAAAGATACCAGGTGTAGGTCTTTGTACTTAAAAAACCTTTTTCCCCTTATACTTCAAGACATTGTTCATCGAGCCTTTCTAGAAGGTATGACGTCAGTGACGCGATGCAGGAAGTCAGTGATACTATGAAAGCCCACTCCTCTACCTTTCTCTTTCGTCTCCTTCAACGTGACCCGTGTCGCGTCTGCTACCCAGGTGTGTAAGTGAAGTTTCACCCTCACAACCTCTCAGTTAAATCCATCATTCTTAAAAACTTTAAATTACTTCAAAACGATCCAGAGACAAGCACTATCTTTTCGCAGCCTCCGCTCATTTCATTCAAACGCGACAAAAACATAGGCAATTTTTTGGTCAGAAGTTCTTTTCAGACTAATGACCAACCAGGCACTTTTAAATCCGCTCGTGCACGATGCAAAACGTGTCCTTTCGTTCACAACACTGATAAAATATCGTGACCTAAACGATACATTAAGATCACCGATCACTTCACGTGCACCTCCACCAATGTAATCTATTGCATAACTTGCACTTATTGCAAAAAGATATACATCGGCGAAACAGGCAGAAGACTAGGTGACCGATTCCGAGAACACCTTCGAGACGTGGAAAGGAATGACAAGGACACATCGAAACCAGTCGCTAGACATTTTAATTTACCTAATCATTCTAAGCAACATATGGCAATCTGCGGTCTTTCCTTGCACTAAGGTAGCACGGAAAGCCGTAAAAATCTTGAGCAAAAGCTCATCTTTCAAACCGGCAGTCTAAATCCCACAGGGATCAACGAACGCTTTTCATTTCACTAATTTATTCATGTTTGTCTCGTTGCCATGTTCCCACCAATAACTTAGCTCCATTTTCTGCCTTTAAAAGCACACACAACCTACAATTCCTCTATTCGCTCCGACGAAGGGCTAACGCTCGAAACGTCAGCTTTTGTAATCGTTACGGTGGCCAATTTACCATTTCAACTTTGTTGATATATCCAAATTATTTCGTTACTCCCACCGACGCAGCCCCAAACAGTTTCTTTCGAAACTATCAGCCTTTATTCATTAGAGATATAACATTTGACACCAATTTGATTTTTTTTAACTTGACGAAATCGAGTCACTGGACGACTTCGTTTACGTTTAGGAACGATTTACCATTGAAGATAGTTTTCTAGACAATCTGGTAAACTGCAAGGAGAACAAACTTCAAGAGAACGAAAAATCTTGCGTTCTCGTCGCAAGACGGTTTCACTGTAAACAGAGTTTAAAGAAAACTGATATACCGACGGATTATTAAATGAACAATTGGCTATAAAAATGCATTATAGAGTTTTCGTTGATATTTTGAAAGGTTTATGCTACTCAGCCACTGATTTTGCACTGTAGACATTGGGTACCATTTTTTTTGCGACTGATCTTCACATTTGCATTAAGTGTAAGTTCTAAATGGTATGTAAAAAAGATTAATACACGCGCTTCGATTACACTGAATATAATCTCGTTTTTAGTTCTTTTATGAAAACTGTCAAACATGTAAATGTTCTTTTCAATTCAACCTGAAGCTAACTAAAATAAACGTGTAAGCTGTAAAACACCGCTGACTGACATCTGTTCAAATATGAACGAAGACGTGCCCGGCGACGGCATAGATGGTTAGAGGCATCTGTACCCTGCTTTCCTAACTCTGCGGTTCAGGTATATGAATGTTAGTTTTCTCTTTATGTCTTAAGTTTCCAGGTGGATCATAAAGTGCTACCACAAAGGTGTATTTTCCATCTGAGCTTTTGGCTTCCCCAATCCCAAGCCTTTTCGAGTCTCTCCAGATAAGTTGAGTAAAGTGCTCGGTGGAATTGTCGATCATTGGATCATCAAAGTTATAGCTCTTTACCTCGCTATACCAGTCAGCGGTAGCTTTCTCGGCAGCAATGTCGTAACTGTGCCACAGGCGAGCCACGTTGATACCGATATGCTCTTTTTTTAAGTCTGATAAATGGATTGCATTATGTGCCAACTGTTTTGCGATTTCTTGCGCCTTAGACGCCAAGCGCTTGGACCATTTCAGAGGAGGACTTCCGTGCCATGTTCTAAACTTGTTATGCAAACGAAGACCAGCTCTTCCCAGTTGATCTGCCAAAATCAAGAAATGGCATTTGAAATTAAAGATCATTCGTTTTTGTACATCATGCATCATCATTCTTCCGGAACGGCATAAGATCGTTCACTATATCGACTACAGAAAATAAGATTTACCGCCTAGATGTAGAGTTTTTTTACGAGATGAAAAGATATCAGTTCAAAATCTATCCGGTCTTATTTTGTATATATGTTTATCAGTATGATTTAATGCTTTTTATATTAACAAAGGCTGTATAATCTAATTGCTTACGAGCAGTTTGAAGTTAGCAGATAACGTGATTTTTTTCCCTTGAAGTGATTGTCTTACCGGGACATGGCGGCATGAAACAGGCCTTGCTTTCTGTTCTGTACCCCTTGCACTGTCTTCCCTGACAGAACTGAGCTCTGGCTTGAATACCTTGACCACAGGTCACTGAACATGGCGACCAAGAATCTCTCACACCTGTGCAGAGAGTATAGTATTAGGAAACCGTCGATAAAGAAGTTAGAGTCTGTTTATCGTAGATAGTGACCAAAACCTGTAATAGTTGACGCGTGCAACTGAGGTTCGAAACTTTGACACAATCGACTGAAAACGACTGAAATGGTCACAAGAAACATCATTTCAAATTTTGGGGCGAAATGTTTCATAGACCTAAGGATTTGTTCCGCGTTACTTAAACCAAAAACAGTCAATATTTTTGACGTTTCAATGACGCCTACTGTTTTTACATTAGTTTCGAGAGAATTAAGGTTAATTTGGTTTTGATTTTGAGACACTTCATTGTAAAGCAGTCTATCGCTTTGACAGAAGTTACAGAAACATCGGCCAGCTTTAGTTGTGTCAAACCCTTACGAATTATATTATTTTTGCTGGTACATTTACGCAATGGTAGTTACTAGTTTTGATTCTGACCATTTTCTAACTTTCTGTTGTTGGATGTCCTCGCTAAGTCGTGGTCTGGTCTAAAGCTGAGTCTTGCCCTGTTTTCGGGAGGGTCCTCGAAAAACTTGGATGGCCTCAAAAAGCTTTTCAAGGACAAAAACTTGTGCTTTTCTTCGCCTTTCGGTAGTCTTGAGCTTAGAGGAAATATATCTGGTGGGGGTGATTGTCCTACCCCGGCAAATGATATCCTGTCTAGTTCGTTGTATTTGGTTGGAGATATTTGTTGAAAACCATGCACTGCAGTCGGACTTCTCTGATTCTCGCCAGGGTTGCGACCTATGGTTGGGCTCACAGAAGGCAGATCAGCCTCGTGAAGAAGATCGTCATTTTGTTCCCAGTCATTCTTTTTATTTAATTTGGAGTTCGTTTTCCCAAGAATTTGCCAGCTGAGCATATTTGTTGTCAAGTTGTCGTCAAAGCCTTTAATCATATTTCCTTTCTTAGAGAAATCCCTTGCTGGAGCTGTTTGGCTTTCCCAGAGATAACGGTTTATTTCTTCAGCATCTGTCGCCATTTGTGGTTTATATTTGCTATATTCTTTCATTCCTAGGAATGCGCCACTATTAATAGTTTTGTTTGGATCTGATTCCGTTAATGTGACATTGCCAGGTATTTTAAGCACCAACGATCCATCATTACTAGTTCCAGCTTTGAAACTAACTGGTTTTCCAGCACCAGATATCTTAAGTGTCACATAGCCAGCATTTGATGAATCTGTTTCTTTTGATTGCAAAGCGTTCCTAGATGGCGTTTTGCCTACGTTGGGGTATTTAAGAATATCTACGGACTGATCTTTCATCATTCCTGATGGTACAACAGAACCACCTTGGGAAACTTGTTCTTGAATATGTCGGTGTTCTTCATTTGGCGTGCTTGGCGGTTGTTGCTCATTGATCATTATGCTTTTCGAAGATATTTTTCCTGAAGTTAAAACGCTTCCTTGCGAAGGTAATGTAGGCAAATAATTAAGTGCATTAGGGTTAGCTGTCATTAATGTTTTCAGTTGATTGCGAAAAGGTGACAGAGTCGTTGCTTGTTTATGTGCAAGCAAAGAGCCGATTGCTGCGTCATTTTGTTCTATTTTTTCTCCTATCGCTTTTTTGAGCAAGTCTTGCTTAAGATCTTCACTATGGTAATCTGATTCATTTTGATGGTTCAGCAAGTCAAGAATCACTTTTTTGCCAATTACAGAAAAAAGATCTGAGTTATCAGAAAGTGAGTTGTGAGGCTGTTCTTGATTTGTATCAACGTCCTCAAAGAGCTCTTTATCTTGGGTATCAAGTTCTTGATCATAGTTCTTTGGCATTTCAAACGGATTGTTTCCAAATTTAGAATTATAATCCGGCATTTTGTCGTACTCGGACTCCTTGTAACTATACTCAGGTAAAGGGTTATCTTTGTACATGTCACTGACTTTGCCAGCATCAGATGCCTGTGGCTGATCGTTCTCTATCTGGCTAATTTGGCGATAGAATTCATTATCCAACCCTCCATTACGAACGGTACCTGTAAAAAAAATACGGATTATGTGAGGCTTCCAGACAGTTTTGTTTATTTTTATTTGAAAACTTCCTAACCAGCTCGATGCCTTATCCAGTTTCACAATTGTTGCAATAAAGGGGGGAGAAGGGGTTGGATACAACACAACTTGTCTTTCAATATTTTCAAAGAGAAGCTGCAAATGTAAGAGGAGAAGAGAAAACCACTGCTTTTGTTTTAAAGCCAGATTTCATTTTAGACCGCTGTACTGGTGGTACTCGGACCTGAACCGTGCATGTTAACGTGCATTTTTTCGGTCGTCACGTGCACGTGCAAAAGTGAAGTGGGTGCTTACTCATGTCTTCAGTTCTCCCCATTTCATCTCTTGTTACCTTCTCAACGAAGTTCCTACTACTCTTACTAAAATCTGTAGAAGAAGAAATTAGCGTTACCCATGTGGTTTTAACATTTTGAAGAGGTGAAGACCAGTACTAGCAGAGTGAAGTATGCACCGATATCCTGGATAGGCTCTGCAAGCCAATGCACAGGAAAACTCCTTTTTTAACAATCCAGGCTCTGAATGTCAATGGTGAACACCGAGAGTTTAATCTTTGTTTGTCAAAGCTACTTTCGTAAATCCTAATTCTTTGGACCTCAAAAGCCAAAAAATGACACATCACTCTATATTTCTGATAAGTTACCGTTTGGTGACTTGTTATGAGAAGGATCCTGTATATAACCTTCTTCAATCTTGGACATTGTTCCATGCGAAGAATCCTCATGATTTCCTGTGAGTTCTTTTGAGGATGAAAAGTAGTTTGTTAACAAAATACTAGCTACCGATACAGATAAAAAGGGATTAAAAAACAGAGGGGTGAACGTAGCCTACGTGTAGCCGCACCCTCCCCCCGACAAAGGAGAAACGGAGCGAGGGAGGGTTGCGGGGGGGAGGGTGCGTCTACACGTAGGCTAGGGTGAAATTGATAACTACCCCTTCATGATTACTTTAATGTAAATCGTGCATAACCGAATTAGTGTTTGGGTGAACAAAAAGCTACAAAAGGAACTTTGGATGAAATATCTAACCGAACCCTCGTGTCGGCTGTCATTATTTAAATCGAATTTACCAACTACATTCGAACCTGTATCAAGCGGCACCGTATTAAGCAGTCACCCTTTATTTAGCGGTCAAAGTCTTGAATTTTTTTCCCCAATAATCGCTTTAGATTTCACCTTCATTAAGCGGTCACCTCTATAAAGCGGTCGTGGTCATCATTTATTGAGTCCCAACGGCCTGTTTGTATTTAACGGTCACTTAAAGCGGAATCACTCAAACGAAACTGGGAATAATCCTTCTAGTAAAATGTAATACTTGTTTCTTATCCGAATTCAGTTAGTTGTATTTTTTTGCGAGTTTCCTAACCTTAAGTGGCCAACTATGTCATGAAATGACGTGTCTTATCGTTTTTTATAATACCCTTGTTCTGTGGAACCTTTATTAAGCGGTCACAAAGCCTTCCCCGCTTAATACAGGTTTGACTGTAGCAATTTCAGAGCTCAAACTACACTGAACTCACTGAGGCCCATTTAAAGCTACCAGAAGGGAGTAAAGTTTCGACATTTTGTATAGCCTGGATAATTTTTCATTTTGTATAGCTTGGATAATTTTTCTACGTGCCGAAAAACGCTGTGGTTGTTTCGTTTAAGAAAATTAGCTGAGAGTAATTCCGAGAGTTTATAATTTAGATTATTCTATTAAATTAAACTACACTGAAAGCCTTGTTTGAGATAATATTTACGGTGAATAGACAAGTGGAATATCACCTTTATCAAATTGATTCACCAGGTGCTGGTCAAGCGATGACAGCTGTCCAGAATACAATATAGCGCTGTTTGTTAAACTTTGTTCCTCTGAGTTCATGAAAAAGGAAAAGAACGAAAAGTCAAAGTAGAGTCAAATATGATCCTACTACTTGTGGGTTGGTATGATATTAGATACTCATATCACCCTTTAGTAGAACAGACAACGATCTTCTTATCATAGTGAAGGGTCCTTAAAACAGAGTAAATTGCCTTGTCAGTTTTGGGAGACGAAGTGTATCCGTTCTGTTATGCAATTGGTACAATCTCATCTAAATTAACGTCGTCATAAACACACCTAGATAAACACAGTACTGTAAAGCAATTACCTTTAATTGCTGGAAGCTGGTGTAGAGCCGAACCTAGATCACTTTTTCTTGCACCCCCGGCATCTAACCCTAGCACATAACAAAAGATTGTCATATAGGTCTATACCAATGATTTTATTATTCAATAAACAGACTTCTTGCCAACCTGCAGCAGTCACTTTAAAAACATCCTCTGGTTTTAATCCGAGGAGAGCTGATCGTGCAGTTTTCTCGAATGGTAGTACAAGTAGTTTTCTCTCATGTTTTCCGCGGATTACCTTCCCGTGAGAACCTAAGGAAACAAGTTTGCAAACAGTCCTCAACCTGGATTTGAAAAGAATCGAAGACAGGAATATATGCATCAAAACGTACCTTTCACTACAAGTAACAAGAACACCGGTATTAACAGCTGGGCAGTGGTAGCCTTGGTCATCTTAGCTGTTAAACATTTCTGCTCATGCAGAGCATGGCTCTAATTTCCTTTCAAAACCATAAGAAATGCTATTAACAAACCAAAATATCAGCGAGAGTAGATATCTTATGAATATATAACAACGATTGAACTAAATAAATATTATTCAAGAATAAAAAGCATACGCCGAACAATATAAAAAGGACTCAAGTATCATGATCTCTCATCTGACGTTTAAGAGGTCAAACACGCGAGCGGAAGATATTTAGCCAGGTTGTCAACTTAGTTTATTGCAGACATGAGTGGGCAACTTCTACGTAATAAAAGATCCTGATTTTGGCTCACTCCAGTTGAATAAGGAGTGATCGGTGTCTGGGTAATTCCCAGTCGAGAAGTCACATAATTGTACATGTTTCCATTTTTTTAAATGTTTGATTTGGAATTTCTACTCTATAAATGCTTCACGTTACAAAGTTGCGCTTATCTCCGGTGATACTTCGTGAATGAAGTTAAGATATCAGGTTTCGATGTTTGTATCTGATCGATGTGGCAATTGTTTTCTATGGCTGAAATACTTTATCGATCCATCCGTCGTTTGGTATTTAGCGCTAAAAAATTTCTTACATTTCGACTTGAGCCAACAAGGATTGTCAATTATCCTCGTTCCGGTAGATATGCCCCGCTGTAAAGCTTTTGGAAATTCAGTGAGATTTATATCTTGTACCGAGGCACACAGCCTAAAAACAAAATGATAAAGATGACTGTACCCCTTACTTACCGGTTACATACCAGGTTAATTTTAAGCGGCAGACATATCATTTTGGGCCATTGCAAAATATCTGATTTTCACCAAGAAGACAGGTTAAATTAGTCATAAAGAAAGTCTTTAAGACAGGTGCTCTATTTATTACATAACTACGTGTCAAAAAAATTTACGGTCCGCAGAGTAACATTCGGTCTTTCGGTTGTGTTTAACGCTCTTGAAATGTCTTCGTCAAGCGCTCGAGACCTCGACAGGAGTAGAATCGGAGCTACCGGAAACAGTCGAAAAAATGCCGGATGGATTGAAAGACATTTTAAAAGACCGTGAAGAAAAGTAAAGCTGGAGTGACTGCATTAGAAAGCATCCGAATCTCGGCCATTTGAAACATTTCTCCATTTGTAACACGGGCTTACCCTAATGTATGAGAGATGATCACATTCTATCAAACTCAGTCCCGGAATTATGTTTTAAGGCTTTCAACTTACTCGAGGCAGCGTGAAGGACATGATAAGACTTTGCATGTGCTGAATTTCAAAAGTAAAGAGACTGCTCCTTTTGTCGTTATTACTGAACTTAATCTCAACAATAGTTTGCCTAAAAGTGTGTAGAGTATACTCAAATTTACACTATTAAATCGTAAAAAGAAGTTGTATTTGGTGTGCCTAAGATAAAGCTCTGCATTTTTATTTAATGAAAATTTTATTTTACAACTCAGTTACAACTTAATTACCGTTGTGTTTGCATTTTTTGTATCCTCCATGAAAAAATTCGTTATCAAGTCTTTCACTCATGAACAAAAATGAAAACAAATGAAAGTGTTACTTTTCAAGAGTTTAATTCACGAGGTATATTAATCAAGGGTTGAATTTGATAGCATCTGTGCTCTCTTAAATATTGTGGCGTAAACGTCCTCTGTCATAGTTCCTTTATTAAGTACATTATCTCGTAATCGTTTCCGATCATTCCCTGGTGGTTTATACAAAGCCACCACATACAAATCATTAGTAGCAACATCCTTGGCGCATCCCATGCCAATTTCTTTCGTTCCTTTCCAGACCAGTTGAGTGAATGCGTCAGTTTGTGGAATTACTCGTGGATACGAGTAACTGTAATTACGGGATTCGCTATACCAAAGATCAGTTGCCACTGCTCCAGCATCGTTGAATGGAACACCAGTTATTTTTGCCACATTTTCTCCATAACCCATTGACTCTGCTAATTCTGAGCGTTCTACGGTTCCCCTCATGGCCATATCATATGCCATTTTTTCTGCTTGCGTAGCAAGTACGTCTGACCAACGAAGATTAGAAGAGTGGTGTTCTTGACGGTAGTGATTATGAGCTTCAAGCCCTTTCTCAGCAAAAGTCTCGAGATCTAATCAACAAGTGAACAATGCGGTTAAACCACATACAACGACAGCATCAGACAACATTACAAAGGCACAGGATGATACCAACATAAATACAAAGGCAAAAATGGTTTAATGTTACCTTCCTTGATGTGCTCTGCTGTGGAGAATTCTTGCTTGTCTTTAGGAGTTCCAATCTCTGTGGCAGACTCAAATAAGACATTGTCTGATGGGCCAAGCGCTTTTGTCTGAGAACTTGATTTTGTAATTGGTTCAGATGGTGACATTTCCAGGTCTTTTAATGGGTCAAAGAGCGTCTTTTGAGGCTTCCGATATTCTTGCCCAGCCCCTCTGGTTGAAGCGGACAGTTCTACTGAGTTCGCTTTCCCATGGACAGGAATATCTTGTATAAACTGAGACTTTATCGTGGGCTCAACATAATGTAAAGAAACTGGATCTTTTTTAATGGCTCTTACACTTCCAGTTCTTGTATACGGTACGTTTTGAAGGTTTATATGTTGATTCTCTTCTCTTGGGGTTAAATCAGTAGGATAATTTATCACGTGCTTGCCCTGCAGACTTTTGATACTGGATTGTACTGCTTGCAATAACTTCTTGACAGCTTCAGCGAATGCAGCTGTAGTTTGTGCGGCAGACTGAGGCTTTCTGTTTGTGCGGTAATTATTATTTAGTTTCTCAGCTGTCCCTTTTAATGAAGGTAGGATCCTCACGCTGTAACCAACCTTGGTGGTTGGCCGCACTTTAGAGTCGCTCGCAAAACTTTTATTCTTTGTTTCTTTTGAGGGTTCTCCTATATCTTTATCAAGGGCTTCCTTAGACGAAGGCTGAGCATCGTTAAGTTTCCCTAAAGTATCCACGATACCTGCCGGCTTTTTCTCAGATTCAGTCTCATTGTCCACGTCTGTCTCCTTTTCTTGAAGAGGTTCATCAGACAAATCTGCATTAGGCAGCAGTGATTCTCCTGATTTTGGAATTTTTAAAAGAACCCACGATTTTCGATTCCCTTGAACGTCTACCACCTTTTTTGAGGGCCACAAACTGTCAGGTACCCTCGACAACGATATTCCCTTTGTAAATTTGGGATCATCGTGCATTTTTCGTAAGTAATTTTTTAGCTCTTCCTTGGCCATAGACTTGATAAGATCGCTAACGGCTTTTGCCAGGGCAAAGGAAAATGACTTTTTGTGATGTTTCCTCGTTCTTATCATTGCATTTCCTTTATCGAGCTCTTTTGTCTGAGGTAAAAGTTTTATTCGTGAACTGGAATCAGTTGGATTATACCGGAGCAAAGGTTTGTATGTGGGTTTGGTTACAAGGTGTGCCTTGCGCCCAAACAATAGTCTTAATATTGAGATTCCCAACTCTGTGGGATTGATAAGCTCGGTATGTATAGTAGACTTCCGCTCTCCAGATGCACTGTTCCGAAGCGATGAAGTGTTCAAAAGACGTAATAGTTTGCTTCCAAAATCAAGAGGAAGCTCAGCTTTAGAGTTTTGAGGATCAGAACCAACAGATTCGTGCTCTTGATTTACAGTGTTGTCATTGTCGAGAAGCACTTTAGCCAGAGACAAGGCATTGGAGTCTTTTACAAAATGATTCTTTTCGTTTAGTAACAGCCCTAATGCAGTGACGAGAGTGCGGGAAATGGGAATTGCGTGTTCAGGCTGCGATCTGCCTCCTGAAGCTGAAGGCAACATTATTGAAGTTCTTTTCTGGGTGCTTTTCGCTGTTGATGTAGCCCGTATTGCAAGTCTTGTTTTTGATTTTGGATGGATTTTCTTTGTGATTTTGCGCTTCTTGTTTGTTACTTTCTTCTTAAGGTTTCTAACGTCTCCAACGAAAGATGACAAAGCCAGTTCCTTTACTAAAATTTCATTCTTTGCTATTTCATCTTTTTTTAAAGGGGGAGAAAACCCTCTCTTTCGAGATGTATCTTTCTTCTCCATTTCAACGATTCTTTTCCAGTCTCGAAGGTGAGCTGATGTCCGCCTGACGAAATCAGGTGAGTTCTTCTCTCTCCAGAACGCATGGTGTTTGGAGTTGTGCTTATGACACAGGCCTACACAAGTAACACAATTAGACGTTATGCACTCAGATAGTTATCTGCTTGATATTGGCAATAATCATTTGTACTGAAGTTTCTAAAGTTCAATTGGTTTCATTTCAATCTTTGAGTATTTTTAGTACTCTTGGATTATCTTACCTAGGTGGAAGGCGTTAGGAACGAAGGTTAATGAAAGGACCAGGACCAATAACTTTTCATTCATTTGTTCATCAGACTTGAAACGCTGTAAGAGCAGAGGAAAATGCTTCTGCTAAGTGAAAACTATCAAAATAAATGATTATGAGAAAAAAGCAAGCCGTTAGAGTATAAACGCAGACTTTAGGGGATTTTTGTTTCATAGCGTTTTAATGAAGTTAGCGTAAGAGTGAGCCAAAAACAGAATAATAGTAGCTATGATTGTGTGGGAAACCAGGGTAAATGGGTGATTTTATGGCTTTGAATACTCAAGCATTTGTTATGAACATTTCAATTTTCAATTCAGGTATATTTTAAAGGCCACCTTAGGTGAATAGGCAAAATAGATCATGACAACATTAATCGTCTTTGAAAGCTACATTTCACTAAATGTACTCCGAAACAGCAGTCAAAAGATGTTAAGAGACGACCCCGATAGAGTCTTTTCATGTTTTAGCGCGGCCCTTATCTCCCCGCCATAATAATGACATTAAAGCTCACCAAGCAAATAACCATACCTGTTCTTACTCATTATTATTCATATCTGTGTCTGTGATTGCTTCCTTTTCAATCCAAGATACGAAGTTCCAAGCAAGAAATACCATCAATCGAAAAGTCGATCAGATGCGTTTTGTTCGCAAAACCATGTTGATCTTTCCCATGATCTGGAGAGAAGGGAATTATGGCATATGGCCAAAAATATACTATGACTCACTTCTGTCCACAATCGAGGAACAAAATAGTACGATTAGTCATTTGACCGTGATAATAAAAGTGAGACTGGTGTCTGTTTTGTTTAGACTATCTACCTCTCCCCGAAGTGCTATTTGATGACTCAATCAACCTGCCAATTCACTTGACGCTTCAAAGGCTCTGCTATTCAAACCAAGCGAAAAAAACAGTGTAGAATAGAAGGTAAAATACGAAGATAACTCTTATGAAGGGTTCTCGCGATTCACGGCTGATGATCTCACAGCGACCGTGTTATCTCATTTTCATATAATGGTGATAATGATAACAACAATAATGACAATTGGGATACAAGTGATTAAAAACATTTTATGTTGTTACTCTATTATAGCAAGTGGTGATGGCCACACCTCTCTTGATCAAACTTTACGTGAGTTTCAAATTCATCTTCCCTTTTTTCGATGACCCGTTGTTTTGTTTTCTTTGATTATTTATTTTCTCACAATATAACCTCAACCCATGAGTTTCAACAGCACTTTACCATTTGCATTAAGCTGATGCTTCATTCAGTATGAAAGTTTGGGATCCGTGCCCTCTAATGAAAGATAACTTCCTTTAAAGTCGAGATTCGGGTGAACATCTCAGACCACACAATTTCTTTGAGACTAGACCATCTTTCTTTTGGATAATTTAACATCAGATGCGTAGTCTGCCTCAATCGTTTACGACTTAAGTTTCAGGAAAGTCAATTCAAAGAAATGAAATAAATATCATTCTAATTGGTTTGGTTTCCTCAGCATTTTATCCAAAATTCAACGATATCACAAACATTGCCGTTAATTTTATTTGCATATCCTTTGTTCAATGGTTGAAATTGTGAGATTGCATATCTTGCTAACAAACAAAAGCACCCCGACACATTCGCAGCCTGTTATTGTTTTGCTCTCACTTTTTTAAGTGCGAAAATTGCAAATTGCATATACTGGGCCCCTACAATGGAGAGGCATTTTAATTTGGATAGTGCGTATGCTGATAACAACTTTACTTTTAAATCCGCCCCAATCTTTACTTCTTATAGCCATCCTTGTTTCTTAGAGCAAGTTAAGAAACTGATTCGGTTTCAAGATAAAGTTCATTTTGAGACAGGCGGCTCAAAATATTTTGCGTAAGAACATAGCTAGCAGAGTCGCGCAATTAAATTCATTATACGTGAGCGTGCTCAAAATCCCGATAGTGCACGCTGAAAGCGTCAGCAAATCCGACTTCGCCAGAAGTTTTTTTTTCGCGCGAGCGGCCATTGTTAGCGCGGTGAAAAATAATATATTTCGCGACAATAATGGATACAAATAGAAACTCGGCCTACTAGTCCGGAAACGAAGACAATGTTTCGACCTTTTCCCTTGGGCTAGAGCTCTTAAATGAGGCAGAAAGAGAGAAAAACAAAGGAAAAGGGGACTCGGAAACAGCGCCGTCACGATTCGCTTCAACTGATATTGTTGTCCGTTTTTCGCGTCGGATTTGATGCACAATTCCACCGGCTATGTTCTAAAACAATTGGTTCATGCTTTCAGCTGTGCACTATCGAGTTATGGAGCACGTGGGAAGTTTGGAGAGCACTCAAGAAGCTAGAGTTTCCCTCGGCTNTTAGAACATAGCTAGCAGAGTCGCGCAATTAAATTCATTATACGTGAGCGTGCTCAAAATCCCGATAGTGCACGCTGATAGCGTCAGCAAATCCGACTTCGCCAGAACTTTTTTTTTCGCGCGAGCGGCCATTGTTAGCGCGGGGAAAAATAATATATTTCGCGACAATAATGGATACAAACAGAAACTCGGCCTACTAGTCCGAAAACGAAGACAATGTTTCGACCTTTTCCCTTGGGCTAGAGCTCTTAAATGAGGCAGAAAGAGAGAAAAACAAAGGAAAAGGAGACTCGGAAACAGCGCCGTCACGATTCGCTTCAACTGATATTGTTGTCCGTTTTTCGCGTCGGATTTGATGCACAATTCCACCGGCTATGTTCTAAAACAATTGGTTCATGCTTTCAGCTGTGCACTATCGAGTTATGGAGCACGTGGGAAGTTTGGAGAGCATTTAAGAAGCTAGAGTTTCCCTCGGCTATCGCCTCGGGCAACTCTTACGCTTCTTTCGTGCTCTCCAAACTTCCCGCGTGCTCCATAACTCGATAGTGCACGCTAAAGCATGAACCAATTGTTAACTAACGCTAACATAAAGATTAGGACTATGCTTGAAAACAGAAAAATTGCATCTTGTTTCGAAACAAAATAAAATATCTCCCCTTGACTTCTTTTACACCTGAAAACAGCATTATATCTTAGGGTCTCGCTATCAACGTGGCTTATCACGACTTTTGTGAGGAGCCATGGTTCTGAAAGAGCTACCAATCAGTTCTTTGAGGTTTCTGTAATTCTGTAGCCGCTAAAACCGCAAAGGCTACGGCCTTGGTGTTTGAGGGCAAAGAGCACACCCATTGCGGTGACATTCTTTCGTTTGGCATGTTTGGTGTAGGTGACAGCATCACAAATTATTTTTCTCCAAGCAAACTCTAAGGTCTCCTCGGATCTCTTCTTATAAAAGCACAAGAAGTACAGTTAAACCGCTCTGCCCATGGGATTACTGGCTTGGTGATTCCCTAGATGTTGTCTCGTAGAATCTTTCCATGATAATAGGTGGCTCCTTTTCCTAACCCTTTACCTCCTTCACCGCATCCAGACGTGATTTTCGTTTCTTGTTACCGTTGTTCTTGTCGCTTTTTATTTAGTAATCAAGCTTTCTAATGTGGATAATGTACCAGATACAGAGAAATTGTCGGCCCTGGACAAATCCTGTGATGTGTGGCTTGAGCTCTCTCTAGAAGCTTAAACACGAAGGTGCGCTATATAAGGAAGTCTTCCCTGGGAAGACCTAGACTCATTTGTGACTCACCGTTGCGGGTCAAAGTTAAATGGTGGTAGACGAAGAAAAGGAGCTAATGAGATATCTATTGTTTACTTCCACCAGCATGGTGGCATGAGGTAACGTGCGAACCGCCTACTTCGATCTCAAATTTACCGCCACGAATAAAAACAGTCTTCATTGGAGAAAGGAAATACAAATCTCAAAAATTCTTGTATTGTGATGAAGACAAAATAATTTTGAGGAATGCGCCCGCTGTTCACTGCTTTGGAGTAGCTGTAGCTCAAGCTGACTTGACTCTAAGAGTTCTACATCACACGACGGTTGATTGACAAATGGTCCAGTGGGACCTAAGGCTCCTCTTATAGCGCGCCTTCGTGTTTAACATTGGATAAAATATATCCTGTCATGATAATTGACAGCCTGAGCATACACTCCTGCTTCTTAATAATGTCTTAATAATGTCTTAATAATGTTATTATCAATTTGAATTATTTGTTTCAGTTGTTTGGTGAAAAACCTGTAAACTAGCTTCTAGCTAAGTGTTTCTCCACGTTATAAACTGTTTATTATTATTATTATTATTATTATTATTATTATTCAGCTAAAACCAAACTGAACTCTACTGAAGGTTGGTAAGAAATCACCTATAGGAAAATTACGTCACGGTACATGTGTAATCAATCATTCGAGATGGCTACGCGTAAAATCTGCGTCAATCGTTTACGACCTGCTCTTAAACTTAGATACAAAAGTATTTTTCGATCAAGATGGAGTGACTCCCAACCCAAAAATGAAACATGTCCAATGGAAAAACAAGTTGCCAACCTTTGGAACATTTGTAAAGTTGCATAGAAACAAATCTCGAGCAACATTAACCTGCTGGAGAACCAAAAGACGGCATCGCTAGGAACAGCACACAAGCTGCGAAAGGTTCTATCCGCCAAGTAAGAAGAATGTAAATCCCTCTCAGGCAATGGTTTGGTCACGGTCTCGGCCCCGGATGGAGGAAAAATGATGTGGAGAAGGGATAGGCAAACAACATCTACATGCAATGCGTGTTTATTAAGTCAAGTGATCGAATACAAATAGTAACTTCCATGTGATTACAGCATTAAATAACTCTCCGATTAACGTTCCCTTCTAGCCCTCCGAATGCGAGCCTCGAAGGCCACAGGCATAGTGATGATATATGGGCAGTATCTGACGGGGGAGCTGACTGCTAAAAGCCCATAGCTAGAAGAATTACTGTTGGAGCTTTCTCCATTTCTTTGCTTGGGCGATTTCCTCTTTGGTTCCAAGGAGCTCCAGAAGTAGGTGTTGAATAACTAGGCTACTGGAAAAGCCCCTGGTTTGTTTTAGGGTAGCATTGTATCCCGAGCGATGTAGGACAAATACTCTAGGGCTACCATTGCCGCATGGACATCAAACACACCAGAAAAACGGGAAAATTTGTCGCGGATGCTGGAGGGACTGGGCAACAGTGTTCAGGGAGATTTTGCCCTTCATCGCTTCTATCTCTCTTTTGACCTCGTCTACCACGTCCAAGGGTGTCTGAGAAAGTGTGTGAAAGGGGAGTTTTTTTCTAGCGGTGAGTCGGCACGAGTACAAACAAACTCCTTAAAATCGAATACCTTTTTCCGGCAAACCTTAGAAAATTGATATCTTGTAACAACTAACAAATACACAAGAGGCTGACAAAAAAAAAAATAAACAGGAGGAGAAGGTAAAGAGAACTGTGTCGCACGAAGTCTACAGACAAATGTAAGATTTAAGCTGAAACCAGCTTGCAAATTAAGATTTCTTGGCTATAATCACCCCTAAAATTAATCGCCAAAAGGTGTAAACACGAGTCTTGGTATTCGCTCCACTAGGCATAGACGTTGCGAAGCGCCAGCATAATTCCAATGAATGCTTGGGGCGTTACACGAACGCTTTGAGTCGCCAACATATAATGGTTCAAAATCAAATCAAATCAATACTTTATTTACCCAGGCACGTAGCGTCAAGGAGCTCGCAAAGCTCGTAATACCTCGTAGAGGTTCGTTGCATTATACCCATTAAACCACCTTAGCCGTCGAACACAAAAGTAACGGCGCCAAAAACCTGCCTTAACTCTGTCAAGCAAAGGCGCTACGCAGTGCCAACATAACTTCACTCTCCGCTGGGTACGTTACACAGCCGCCCTATGACGCCAACATAAGTTCCTCTTATGTATACGTAACACAAACGCCAAAAGACACCAACGTAATTTCCTCTTTGGAATACGTTACACAAACGCCATGGGGCATCAACGTAATTTTCTCTTTTGGATTCGTTACATAAACGTAATGGAGCGCCAACATAATTTTCTTTTTTGGATACGTAACAAAAAACGCCATGAGGCGCCAACGTAATCTTCAATTCTGGATACGTTACACAAACGCCAAGGGGCGCCAACGTAATCTTCACCTCTGGAAACGTTACACAAACGCCATGAGACGCCAGCATAATGTTCTCTTCTAGATAAGTTACATAAACGCCATGGGGCGCCAACGTAATCTTCACCTCTGGATACGTTACACAAACGCCACGGGTCGCCAACGTAGTTTTCTCTTCTGGATACGTTGCACCAACGCCAGGGATCGCCGACGTAATTTTCTCTTCTGGATACGTTGCACCAGCGCCTGGGACGCCAACGTGATTTTCTCTTCTGGATACGTTACATCAACGCCAGGGGTCCCAAGCGTAATTTTCTCTTCTGCATACGGTACACAAACGCCATGCAGGGTCAACGTAATTAAACTTTGTACAAATATCATCTTATGTACGTTTCACAGACACTATGAAGCGCCAATGAAAGATAAGCGGTTGGGTTCTAGGAAAGGTACGTAAATAAGGCCTGAGTTCCCCCTCTCCTTTTACGTTGCACAAATACCTGAAAGCGCCAACGTGAATAATTTCCCTACAAAGGAAAGCGTTGAGTCAAAAATACCAAATCAAATCCACACGTGTGTGCTAAAATGAGTATGAATCAGGAAGGGGACAAATGTAAACGTAAAAACACGGTACTCTGCGGGTGATGTTTGCCGTTTACCGGGGCGATAACGGCGACAACGACGAGTTCGGGTTCCGCCGGGACGTAAGACATAAAAAGAAACCTTCAGCGGTGCTGGCTGTATTTCAGGAGAACGAAATTTGCAGACTGTGGCGTCAGTAGACTTGCGAGAAGAGAGAGATTTTGTATGCAACGGCGTATAAAATGTCTTGAGAATTTCCCTGAGGACCTCTACGGCCCAGAGCATTTCTGCCGCGAGAGTGCGTAATTATCCGATTTACAAATTCTGCATGCGGCGCCTTTTACGCGGGTGAGAATAGAGCTTCTAACGAGTACAAAGGTTTATGAGGAATTGATTTCAATCTTCTGCAATAGTCTCTGTAATAAGGCGGTGATATGATTAATTTTTTTTGTCACTACGTCATCTTAGTAGATCACTGTACACCTTAAGTATTGATTTATCTGTAGAAGAAGCAGGTTGCAAATCAAAACTAACCACATGTTGGAGACAGCTACTAAAACACATATCCCTAATATCATAGAAACATTTATTGTTGTTCGTTGATGCTAAAGTCATGATTATTCACGAGGAAGAAGAATATTCAGTATAAGTTTGTTACCAGCTACAAGCAAAACCCATCGGTCTACATTATTTGCGAGATGGTGGCTCTATCTATTACTTCCTTTTGATCCTGATTATGAAATGTCTACACAATGTCATCTATATAAACCCCATTCAATCTTGGTTCGTTAATTTGACTAATCCTCAGTGAGCTGCCAGATTTCAAGCGATTCGTCCACTAATTAAACTATGACTATCTTGTTTCCTCTCTGTGTGCGGTTATCAGTAGCAGCACCTTTACCGGGAGAATATTTCACATCTGTTTCAATCAAGTTGAAGCCCTTTGACTAGAAAAACAAGGAAAAAACAATACAGCATGCCACAAGCCTTGTCAAAATTTGTTGTAAAAGCAAGAGAGTGATTTGGCATCTACACACGTTATTCTGCTCGACTGTACGCGAGCTTCGAGTAACTACGTACATTTTCGAATTGAAAAGAATAAACGAATGAACTGAAATAATAACTCAACATACACAAGAGAACAACAAAGTAAGCGGGAGCGGACACTGACAGAAATAAAAAACAAATGATCGAATGAAAGAAGAGAGGAAGGAAGGAAGGAACAATAGAAGGAAAACGAGGAGCATACAAAGGTACGAAAAGAGGTAAGAAGCCTGCTCCTACTGAAGACTAACCAATAAAATTAGAAAGCAGCCTACCTTTCCAGACGTTATTTCAGCATTTACCAGCTGAACTCCGTCCACTACTGGCAAAGGAAAGCCAACGTCACCAATTTCTAAAAGGTAAGAAAACAAGCAATAAGAAAACACCAACCTGACAATAAATGTTGCAGTGGTTAAAACTGTAATTTATAAACAAGATTAACTTTGAAAGAGAAGGTTACATAGGTTACATAGGTTAGTTGACCACTTCCCATAAGGGATTTTCAGGGCCAACACCCACCCATCCCACCGCAATGATACTATAGAGGATGGTATCATCAGCAAATAATCGTATAGCAGAATTGCAGTTATCCCCAATATCATTTATATAGAGAAGAAACATTAGGGGATCTAGGACTGTCCCCTGGGGAACACCAGATGACACATGGACTGCAGGAGAAGATACTCCATCTACTACAACAGATTGTTCTCTACATGTTAGCCAAGTAGTAATCCAGCTTTTGAGATTACCCCTTGTTCCATAATAGTCAAGTTTACTAATTAATCTCTGATGTGGGACAGTATCAAATGCCTTGGGGAAATCCATAATGATTAGATCTGATTGATTTCCATCGTCAAGGGCTCTTCCAATTTTCTCTATTGTTGTGACTAGCTGGGTTTCACAGGAGAGTTTCCTACGAAAGCCATGTTGAGATTTAATAAGGATGTTCATTGAGTCTAGATGGGCCATAATATCATGAAAGATTATATGCTCTAGTATTTTACATGGCACAGCTGTCAATGAAATTGGTCGGTAGTTTGCAGGTTGATGTTTATCACCTTTTTTGAAAACAGGAGTGATATTTGCTTTCAGCCGGTCACCGGGCAGTTGACCAGTAGCTACAGATTGGGTGTAGAGAAATTGGAGAAAAGGTGCAATTTCAGCAGCCGCTTCTTTTAAAACCCGGCACGGATTCATCGTGATGGAAAACCTCATCATAAAACTGTAAAGCTCCATGTACTTCGCTTTCGATACTCAATCATTTTCACTTGCTTCAAGTGTAAATCCATCGGCTGAAGGATCTCAATACTCACTGAGACTTTCCCGAAATCCAAAAATGTAAACTAGGCTCAAAGAGGAATTTTAAAAAAATCAACAAAAATAAACCTATGAAGCCTTAGCATTCAAACTGAACTCAGAAAGAATCATCAGTTTTGGTATGATCGGAAGCTCCTTCCAACTTAGACTCAAACGTATATTTCATGGAGGTTTGAGTATCCCTTGGCATGTTTTCTTTTCAACAGGAGTTTTAAAATGTTTAACATGATCAAAAGAAGACACTAGAAAGCATCATGAACTTATTTCTGTGGACCATTTTAAGTTAACAGATTACATGGTGCCACATAATCCTGAAAGAGGAAATATATGTACGTCGGATTATAACTTTACAAACAAGTTATGTTCGGTTTGATTAGTTACCACCCATATTCTTCAGAACGGAGGCCAGCACTGTCTTAAACTTTCTCTGTAACGATGGCTAAAATGTTCCTAGCAGAAGCGAAACAGAACAATATTTCTCGGAAGGCAAGCACCATGGAGACTTTTTGATTAACCGTTAGTATGTAGATGACACGAAAGTTTCTCTCACTGTTTAGTTGCTTAGCGATGATCTGGTCTGCAAAAGCATCCAAAGCAAATTGAAGAAGCTTCAGGTTGATCTGCAATTCAGCAAAATAAAACTCTAAATAAATAAATTTCTCACACCTTTACCGAGCTGTGAATGTCCAGGGGTGATTCCTCAGAAATAAGACTGGTCGAAAACCTTTTTTATTGCTTTTCTTGAATGCTCCCTTTAATCGCTCCGTCAAAGAACAAAATCTCGCGATTTATTCCATCAGTTTACGTTATTATTTGAGGAAGCTGTATGCAAGGGTTTTAAAAACATAACTTACAAAAGAGCCGCCTGCATAGGTAGAAATTCGCGAGAATATGTAAGAGGTGATATTTACCTTCTAAAAAAGGTAACGTAATCTTCTCAGGACGTTCCTCGAGCCGTAGTAGTTAGAGTCGTTGTTTTCGTTCTAAGAAACGGCTTTGTATACACTTTGAATTGTGTTTTTTTTCTTTTCCATAGATTTGTTTCTACATAATAATACCTCAAAGGGATTGATTTTTGCATGAAAACTGAGCAAGAACCAAAAAAATACAGGCCACCACGCCTCCTGAGTATTCGACCCATCAAGGCTATTCCCGATCTTGTTATGTATTGTTCACCCCTTGTTCTATTTATATAGTTCTTTTTCTTGCTAAGAACAACCTATTACAATTCAAAAATGATTTTTATGAGCGTTAGCCATTGACTATAGTCGGTGACAGAGATACTACTGTTATGCAGTTGAGTAAGAATGAGAGTGCATAGTTCTAAGTTTCGTACCGATATATCTCCAATGGCAGACTTGATCAGATTGACTTTCACCCTGAAACATGGACACAACTGAAAATCAAACTTAAACCAAATAAGAAAAGGAAGCCTTTTCTCACTAGTTCGTTCACTTTTAAGACACAAACGTGTGTCCTATTTCTTTATTTGAAGAAATTAGGAAATCGGAAAGTGCAACTTAAATGGTGAACTCTTACTGGCATTCTGCTCTGAGTACAAGCTAGTCATCACTAGCACTGTCTTCAAACACAAGTATCATCACAAAACTACCTGGATGCATCCTCGGTCAAAGCATTGGCAGCTATTAGATTATTTGATAACACTGCAGAGCGATACGAAAGATGTGTTGGACACTAGAGCAATGAGAGGGTCTGACTGCTCGACAGATCACAACATGATTCGATCTAAACTCGCTTTCTTACTGCGGAAAGCCATTAAGAAGACTAAAGGAAAACCAACATCCAAGATGAATGTGGCTAAGTTGCGAAATGAGAAAGTATGCAGGGCGATCCAGAAAATGGACAAGATCATGGAAGATAAGTAGGATGAAAACCTGGATTTAGAGGAGCAGTGGGACAGGTTGAAGACCACTGCCTACCAAACAGCTGGAGATATGCTTGGTAAACCAGACCGGAAACACTAAGACTGGTTTGATGAGAGTGATGTTGAGCTTAACACCTTGCTTGGCGAACGAAATAAGGCTAAAGCAAACGAACTAAAAAGAAAAACACGAGCGAGCAGCTCTAGGCTTGCTACAGCCAGAAGCAAACTTCAGAGGTATACCAGAGAAAAGAAGTCTCAGTGGTGGGAAGAGAAAGCAGTAGAATTACAGCAGGCAGCAGACCAAAATGACATGAAGGCATTCTGCAATGGCCTTAGAGAGGTGTATGGACCACAGAAGAGAGGGAGTGCCCAACTAATAGTGCTTGACGGAGTAACAGTCTTGAAGAAAAAGGACGAGATTCTGAACAGATTTGCCCAGCATTT